GTTGCCCAGGTGGGTCTCGAACCCGCGGGCTCAGGCAATCCACTCACCCCGGCCTCCCAAAGTGTGGGATTACAGGCTGAGCCACCGAGCCTGGCTCAAGCTCTCCTTTTAAAAGAAAGGAACCCAACAGGGAGCCAAGCTGCCGTCTGTAGTCTGTTGAATCCTGATCTAAATCAAAGGATGGCAGCAGTGCCTCCTGGGAACGTAGTTAGCGACAGGAGCATCCCCAGGCAGACTTCTGCGTGTGTGCGCCCTTTCTGTGTGAGTACGATGGCACCCGAGTTGAGTACTCAGGAGGGGTGAGTGAACCGAGGAGAGTCGGGGACGTGCTCTTTTTTTTTTTGAATCGGGGTTTCACTCTGTCGCCCAGTGCAGTGGCACGCTCATGGCCATCACAGCCTCAACCTGCTGGACTCAGGCATTCCTTCCACCTCAGCCTTCCAAGTAGCTGGAACCACAGCCACGCACCACCACGCCCAGCTAATTTTTTGATTTATTGTAGAGATGAGGTCTCACCAAGTTGCCCAAGCTGGTCTTGAACGCCTGGGCTCAGGCATTTCTCTCACCTCCCCCTCCCAAAGTGCTGGAATGACAGGTGAGCCAGCGCGCCCAGCAGGGTCATGCTCTTTTGGGTGGTATTTTGGACACTCCAAAACATTCCAGATCTGCTTTTATCTGAATCTTTGTTGAAGAAAAGACAGCTCTAACCTGGATCCTCTACTTTGAGACTAAAACACAGACCTTGGTCATGGCCGTCCAGACAGTGTGACCTGTGGGGCTCACGGGTTCTCCCCCTCATCCCGGCTTCTTCTAAACGAGAGATTCAAATGAGCATGAAGGGACAGGCACAGCTTTTCGTCCTCTGTGTCCTAGTCTGGATGTAGCGTGGGGAACCTGGAAGCGGCGTCTCCTCCCTCCAACCCTCGAAGCTCTGCCAGTGTCAGAGGCCTGGCGGGGAGGCCTTCATGCCAGACGCAGCTCTGTTTCCTGAGACTGTTGTAGCACGGTCCCACTAACTTGGTGACTTAAAAAAGAGAAAAATGTATTCCCTCACGGACATCTGAAATTAAAGTGTCAGCAGGACCACATTCCCTCCAGAGGCGCTCTGGGGAGAAGCCACTCCCCGGCTCATCCTTGGCTTGTAGCTGTGTTCCTCTGCACCCTCTCTGTGTATCAGCCTCTCCTGTGCGTCGGCCTTTCTGTGTGTCGACCTCTCTTGTATAGTGACCTCCCCTGTGTGTTGGCCTCTCCTGTGTACTGGCCTGTCCTGGTTGTCAGCCTCTCCTGTGCATCAGCTTCTCCTGTGTGTTGGCCTCGCCTGTGTTGGCTTCTCCTGTGTGCCAGCCTCTCCTGTGTGCCGGGCTCTCCTGTGTGTCAGCCTCTCTTACGCATCAGCCTCTGCTCTCCGCGGCTGCATGACTGTCCCTCTGCCTCCCTCATGTAAGGCTTCGGGAGGCTTCTGTTTAGAGCCCACCTAGCAGTCCAGGCTAAGGCCCTCCTCTCAGCTTCCTTAACCGTATTCCTTGCCATATAGGCAACATTCAGGTCTTTGCCACCCCGAGTAATAATTACAGGTGTCAGGGATTTGACACATGATCTGTTTGGGGGCAGGGGCCATTTTTTGACCCTCCCAGAGGCTGTCTGCCCCAAGAGCAGGAGCGGGCCGGACCCAAGCCTGGAGTTACAGATTTGCAATATCCAGTCATCACTTCGCCCTGCCCCCTGGCCTGCGTCCCTCTGCCCAGTGACACCAGGCTGGTGGCAGGGAGGCAGCGTGCAGCCTTACTACAGGGAAACCCTGCCCAGAGGCCGAGGTGAGCCTCGCAACCGTGGACTGCAGGACAGGTGTGAACAAGTGACCCGGAGAAAGAGTGGACTGCAGCATTTGCTTTCCAGAAACCAGCTTTGTACACTCGATTTTTTCCCTTTTCTTTCCTTAGCTTGAGAGTGACTAGTACAAATAAGGAGTCGGGGCTCTCGGACGTCACCAGGCCCAGCTGCGGCCACTCCAGCTGCGGCCACGTCGGCAAAGGCCAGCGCAGATTCACTTACGACCACTCGGAGCTGGGGAGGAAGGTCTCATGTGGCTCCCCACCCCCAGACTACAACTCGGTGGTCCTGTATGCCGCCCCGCCTGTCTGAGGTGTGACACCACGCCTTATTTCTAGAAGCATACATGTATTTATACCCCCAGAAAACTAGCTTTTGCCAGTATTATGCCTACCTAAGTTTACACCTTTACCTTCCCACAGGGGCCAGCTGCTTTTTGTGATTTTTTTTTAATCGTGCTTTTTTTTTTTGTTTTGACTAACAAGAATGTAACCCCAGATAACTAGAGAGATAGTGATAAGTCCGGAATACTACTGCTAAGTCCTCATGTTACTCACTGGGTTAGAGAAATCCTTCTGATGCCCCGTGACTTATGTGCCCCAACCCCCAAGACCTCAGGGCGCCCAGGAAGGGGACAGTCAGGAGCTGCACTGATCAGGCCACAACTCGGGCCCCACCAGGCCAGTCCCAGGCCCCGAGGCCAGCCGCAGCAAGCCTCTCGCTCTAGGGTCACCAGCTGGCCCAAGCAGGGTCTCTGGAGTCCCCTGGCAGGCTCAAGACAGTCGGGAGAAAAGGGAAAAGAAGACAAGAGCAGGCCCGGGGAGACACCCCCCGCCCCTGGGCAGGGACCAGCCGGTCTCTCAAGACACCCCGCCAGGGGTCCCAATTCTGATGGCCACATTTGAGAGCCCAGCCCGGAACAGACAAGACTGAGACGAGGGGGTCTTCTGGATCCTTGGCGGCAAGAGAAGAGCAAACATATTTTTTGGAACTCAAGCAAATGTGGAATGTTTACCTGCAGAACTGGCGCGCTTGCCCGTACCCACGTGGGGCACATTTTGGTTTCTGGCACTGAAGGTGGCACTCAACTCAGAGCCCTTACTTGGGGCTCTTCCGGGGAGAGACACTGAGAACTTCAGAGCTCAGCTGGCTCATGGCGGGACGGCCCACACTTGCACTGGCACATTCTGTCTCAGGACTGACGTGTAGCCCAGACACGGAACTCGATGTTCCGGTATGATCCTATCCTGTACAGTTAGTTACAAGAGAAAGCTGAGGAGGAGGGACGTGCAGTCTTAGAGAGGGTTTTCTCTGCACCCAAATCGGAATTGATGGAATTAAAAAATCAGGAAGGCAGGGTGAAAACTCCACTTGTGCACCGCACAGACCAACTCGCCAAAACAGTTGGGACCCAAAACGTAGTCAGTGGTGTTTTTCCTTGATTTAATGGAGGTTCTACTCTCATGCTAGCCTGGGAAAATGTGGAAGAGCATGGACCCATGCTTTATCAAGCACTTTAAGCTCCTGAGAAGGAAGGTGATATGTAATTTATGCAAGAGATTTCCACAGTCAGGACTTGGGATGTCCATCAGAAGCAAAGCCTGTCTGCATCTGCCTCGGACCTGGTCCGGGCTATGGGCATGAGGAGCGGGGCCTGCTCTTCAGGTCTGTGGGTCTCTACATGGGCACTGTGTGATGCCACTCAGGCAAGTTACGGCCTGTGCACATGGGCTGTGGGCACCTTTTGCTGTCAGAGCTGGACAGGCAGCCCCGAATTGCTGCTTTTGGAGAGAGAGGCTCACTTCCTTTCCTGCACTCCAGAACCAGAACTCCATGGCATGGAAGAACGCACATGTCCCCTCCCCCAGGCCACCTTCCTGCTGAAAGTTCCTCCGTGAAGAGCCAAGAGTCAGCATGTTCCCAGGTGAGCCAGCGGCACCTGCGGTGGCCCCTGTGGCAAACTCCCCACCCCAGGAGGGAGGGGTCAGGCCCCTCCACCAGGAACTAAGCCCAGATACAACCAGTCTGGGGCAGAAGAGGGGGCACCTCTTGGCTCTTCTGTGTGTACACACAAGCCCCTGAGACAGCGGACAACAGTGTAAATTGGGTAACTAGGAGATGAAACAAAGTCCAAGAAGACCCCAATCAACTCTCTGTTCAGGTCAGATAAGGACCTAGCTACTCATGATAACCAAGAAAACGTTAGCTATGCAAATGCTGTCTTGATTTCACTTTAACCATTCAGAGACCTTAGTAAATACCCTTTTCCAAAAGAGAAAACAAATCCATGAGTAACGGAACTCAGCTTCTCCAGGGTCAGGTTTGGAGCATCTGTGAGTCCATCAGGCAAAAACACTTCTATCTGGTGGTATCTCACATAGAAAGAAAAGGAAGGCTTGTACTCACAAGCATATCTAATTGCAGAGTGTGTGTTCAGTCAAACAGCACTGAAAACTAAAACACTAATGAGCCGATTGTCATGTTAGAACCATTCTCCATTTAGGACAGACACGGTGGCACTAACAAAGGACCAGCGCTTCCAGGTGTGTGAGGTGACGTGTGTGTGACAGCGGGGCCAGGGGGATGGCCCCACCTGCAAGTCCGTGTCTAGTGAGTCAAGACGCGATGCTTGGATGTAGCTTTAGCCTATGGGACACGTCACGTGCCTTGTTGCCCAGCCCAAAAGAATGTCAGACTCAGCCGCCTGCTAGCTCTGTTCAAAATGACTCAAGGAGGTGTGCATCTTTGATCAATGGTGGTAGCAATTGAATGTGTCTGTGTGTGTGTGTTTTGTGCATAACTATTTAAGGAAACTGGAACTTTAAAGTTACTTTTATACAAACCAAGAGTATATGCTACAGATATAAGACAGACATGAATTGGTCCTATATTTCTAGTCATGATGAATGTATTTTGTATACTGTCTTCATATAATAAAATTAGCTTCCAAAAGCATATCATATTTTCCCCGCTTTGCTTGTAAGTGACAAAACGGGGCATCAGTGTCCCTCGGGGTAGAAGACCGGCAACATAGAAGATCTCACTCAATACCAGTTATTCAACACATAAAGAGAAAGCTATCACTGCAAGGGACTGAGCAGAGAGCTTTCTCTCAGTGCTACCACAGGGCTGCTCTAAACCCTGGAACACTGTGAACAGTCAATAAAAAACATCACCAAACCGGGCACATTGCCCAGAAAACTGAACCCCAAATCGGTACGATGGCAACACGAGACAAGCACAGGCTGGGTGTGAGTGCCGGCTGTCACTGAGGTTCCCTTCAACTCAAAGGATGCCGTCCTCCCCAGACGTGGACTTTCAGCTGATAGACAGTTACCGTAATTACAAGTTGTGCGCACACACATGTGTTTTAGAGGTTGCATGCAGGAAACCACACAGAATAACAGGCAAAAGCCTACCACACAAACACCTCCCGAAGAAAAGTGAAGGATCCCAATTTTGTTTTGTGGATTTACATCCTAGGAAAGAAAGAAACAACTCAGGTATTAACTACTAGACACAAGATAAGTGACACACACAATGTCAGAAAGTGGTCATACTATTCCTCGCCTAATAACATCATGAGGAAATTAGATTGGAGACATATGGGGAAAAAATTAAGCACACTTTGGGAGAAACATGAGAAAAATGGACAAAGGACAATCTTAGTGAACTTTCAGTTAACTGAAGAGGACAAGGGGCATTTATGAAATCCTTTAAAAATATTATGGGTTTTCATAACAGAAGAGTGAAGTCACGCATTTGGGCAAATGATTTGAAGAATGTTTGAGGAATCAGAGTCACGTCATAGTTTAGAAATTTTCTCACGACTCTGGAAACTTACAGGACACTTGGGAATTGATGTTTTTCTTTCCCCTCCAGCAGAAAGGCAGCCCAGTAAGGTTTATTGGACTCCTCAGTGTTAAACATATTACCAGACTTTTGAGTTTCACAGGCCAGGAAATTTAAAAATATATATATCTTGGGTCCCAACACAGTCTTCTGTTTTGTGAACTAAGAAAATTTAAGAGAGAAGAAACCCCCAAAATCCAACCAGATGCTACTAAGCCTATTTCTTGGTCTGGGCGGGAATACACAGGTGTGTACACTTGGTGACAATTCGTTGAGCTGCACAGTTACTTGTGAACTCATATAGATACAGAGGGTGCCAAAAATATGCATACCCATCTTAAGAAAGGAAAAAGCTGTATTAAAATTGTAATAATATATGCCAATAACACAAGTCATGTTTGACTTCTGCAATTACACATTGCTACTGTAATTCAACTTAGAAAAGTAATACATAGATAACATCTCTTAAAATGTGTATGTGTGGTTTTGGACCCCCAGACATGTATGCTATTCCTCCATAAGACTATTAAAAGGAAAAAAACCCACTATCTAGTACCACAACTTTTCACAGAAGAAAAACCCATTTTAGGAGAAGGAAGGGACTTCATCTCAGACTAAAATTGTATCAACTCAACTTTGTGTTTGAAACGTACCTATATTATTATTATTATTATTCATTTTAATGTGCACTAGAAAAAATTCTAATGAACAAATGCTGTTCCACAGATTGAGATTTGGGGCAGCCAGTACCAGCGATAGCTAGTAGCTATTCTAAGTGCTTTAAAGGAATAAGCCCATTTAATTTTCAGAGCACTCTAACATGATGGACACTGTTGGTGCACCCTTCACTCCCATGGGAAAATGAGCGAAAGAACTCCAAAGTCCCCCGCTCTTGCCTCCCACCTACCACTATGAGCGCCAGACCCCCTGCTTTCTTCCCGGACAGCCAACCCAAAGCACTACCGGTGCACTTGACCCCTTATCTCAGACTCAAAGCCGTTGCTTAGCAGTTTTCCACCTCTCACCTCCTCCACTGCCCCCCTTTCCACGGATCGCACACACCTGCTGCTATTTCTCCCAAACTAAGATGTCCTCTGTGCCATCGCCAGCCCACACTGCCCGATTTCTCGCTCCACCTCTACAGCAAAATCCCGGGAATGAGTTGGTGCCACGACTTCTTTCCAGCTCCTCTCTACCCAGGCCCTCTTCACCCGCTCGAGCCTGGCTCTCAAGATCACTCACTCCCTGCACCAGCTCCTGACAAGGAGACCGGAGACCTGCACGTGCCTGTTCAGCGGCCAGTTCTCAGTCTCGGTCCCACACACCCCAGCAGCCCCTCAGCCCTTCTTCCTGAAAGCACCCTCTTCACCTCCAGTCCAGGGCTAGCACTTGCTTCTCTCTGTCCCCCTGGCTGACGTTGCTCCAGGGACCCCCACGCTGTGCCCTGGAGTGTTTTCCTTTCTCAGTCCACACTAACTCCCCTCACGAGCTCAACCAGTCTCAGGCCTTCCATGGCATCCTGGAATGACTCCAGACCTCTCCCCCACACTCCGAACTCACACGTAACAATTGAGGCTCTGGCAGACTGTTTCTCAAAGACGGCTGCATCTCCCGTTGAACGTGACCTTGGCAGTGAGCCCCTTGCGGAGCCAGTATCAAATTCCACCTCCCCTAGAGTCAGAGCTGGCTTGGTGACTCACTGGCAATCAGAATGTGGCAGAAGCGACGCGTGTGACTGGGAGGCCAGGTCGGAAAAGATCATACCCTTCCCACGGGCCTTTCGGCCCCTCATCCAGCCCCCTCCCCTGCCCCTCCCCCCCAAGCCCAGCCTTCGTGTTTGGGGAAGCCCAAGCCACACGGCCTGTGTGCAGGTGCTCTGGCCTTCAAGTCACTGCAGCCCTCGCCATTGGACTTGCCCGCTGTGGCCAAACACAGGGGGCAGACCGGCCATCTCTCTGGGGACTTATCCAGATTCCCGCCCCCACAAAAATCCCTGAACAGAATAAAATGCTCCATTTATGCCAAATTTGAAGTCGTTTGTTACAAAATAACAAATAGCCAGGACAAATAGAATAACTAAACATCTCAACCAAAGGAGCCCTGACCAAACTCCCAACCATCTTTCCCCAAGTCCCCACCCTCCCTGCACCCCCAGAAGCCCTTTGTTCCCACCAGCCTTTCCATTCGGAAGACTCCTCCAGCCAGCCAGCAGCAAAGGCAAAAACAAACAACAAAAAAAACCATTCGTGACTTCCCTTTCTTACTTCCATCAAACCTGGGAAATCAGGGCACCCTGCCACTTGACCTTTAGAACAGGCTGGGAAGTCAGCCACTGGGTAGCCTCTCTGTGGCCGCCACCCCAGTCCGGTCCCCACCATCCTGCACAGAGATGTGGCCAGATCCCCCACGGGGCTGCCACTCAGCCTCCCAGGCCCTTTGGGACGGATGCAGGAGCCACAGTGACCCTTCCCACAATCCTGCAGCTTTCCCTCTCTTAGGGTAGAAGCCAAAATAACTTGAAACGGTCCAGAGCCACCACCCATCCCTTTGGCCTTCCTACCGTCATTCTCTGCCTCTTGGCTCCGGCTGCCTCTGCTGGGCACCTCTCTCACCTCTAGGCTTTTCCTTCCCCCAAGATATCCGCGTGGCCTCCTTCACATCCTAGTTTTCGTGCAACAGCCGTCGGTGAGGCCTCCCACCCAGACCGCCCCATGTGGAACTAGTCCACCGCCCCCACCACGCTCCCGCATCTAGACACGAGAGGAAACATGGGGCGGCCAGGGAAACGTGAATTGCAAGGACACAACAGAGAATTTCTTGACATAAACACGTTCTGTGCAAAACTGAGGCCATACGAATTTTTAATGCACGCCCATGCTAGACTTGAATCATACTTAGGATAAAAATGATCCCTCATTGATTCCAAATTCAAATTCAGCTCAGAGTTCTGTATTTATTTGCTACACTGGCAACCCCGCCCACATCCTCGACTGTTTGGGACTCTTCCCAGAACCATTATTACCTTCTAATAGACTATCTACTTGTATCCTCTCTCCTCGTGTCTATTGCCGTCACAGCTTTTTTCTTGGTTCCTAGAACAATGCCTGGCATAGGATGGGCAACCAGTAACTATTCAGTAGTCCCAATCCACTCGCCTATGATACCGAGTGGGTGGGAGGTTGAGTCAAGACCCAGAGAGCCACGCGTGGAGGCAGTATGCGAACTTGGGTCGTCTTGTTCCTGCCAGCTGGTTTCTAACCATGATGCCATATATTCTTTATTTTAAAGATGTGGGGTACAACTCGGGGTTAGGTATACAAATGGTTATTGTACAGGTAAAGTTTGGGTCTTTGATTCCATCACCTGGCTTGAGACTAGGTACCCCTATGATGAAGTGTGCCCCCCCCACTACTGCCAATTCCTTTCTTATAGAATTATAATTGTTCAGGGTCCGCTTATGAGAACATGTGGTACTCAGTTGTTTCTGTGAAAGATCACTGAGTATTGCAGACTCTAAATCCATCCAAGTCACCGCGAAGGCCATATTGTTTTTAATAAACTGAAGACACTAGCTTTCTTTTCTTTTTATAGATTTAGGGAGTACAAGTGACATCAGTGTAACCATCACCTGAGTAGCGTTTGTACTCACTGAAAGCATCCACTGCGGGGAGGTGGGCTGGTGTCGGTGCCGAGGCTGCGGGAAAAAAGTATAAAGTTTATGATTCACCTTTCACATACTGGAAAGGTGGCCGACACTCAGAGGCAAGTGTGGCCTTGACGGGCCAAGAAGTGGGTATATTTAAGGGTCTTTGGGGTCAGGGGGTTTAGGCCTGGAGAAGTGTCCAGGGTTGAGGGTTTTTGATGTTGATCGCAGTCTTAGATCTTGAGGTCACCAGACATCAGCATCTCATGTCCTCAGGCGGTAGGCTAGATGGAAAGACACAAGGGGGGGGGTTTCTGGCGAGAGACTTATAACTCCTTGATCAAAAGTTGGTCTTATTATCATTTCTATGGCTTGACCAAGCCAAGGGGTCATCTTTGATCTTCCACCTCAGACAAGGAACCTGAAAAGTTTCCTAGAGATTATGCTAAACCATGAATTGAAAGGTTGGGCTGTCCTGATCTTGCATCCGATGGGAGATTTGCCAAGGGAGGGGGGTCAAGTCTAAGCAACAATGGCAATGTTGAGGCAAAAAGACTACACTAACCTCTTTATTCTAGGTTTCTATAGGTACCGTCACTCACTCACTAGGGAATTTATCAGACGCTCCCACCTCCCTGCAGCTTACCTGACAGATGTGTCCCTAACTGCACCTGTGGCGGGATAATCTCTTATAGACCAATGGAGCACAGGAGACAGATGCCGGAGCCATCAGAACACCACTCAGGAGAGTGCAACCAACCTAATATTGGGCTTGCTTTGCATTTGTTATGTTTCCTTTTAAGGTATTTAAAGATGAGAGACCCTCCACAAACACTCCCTTCTAGACTTACCTCTTTCCCCCATGAACCTAGGATGGTCGTTTGAACTTGCATCCAGATGTATGGGTTTCTTTCAGCGTCTTTCCCCTGTGAATTCCTAAAAGCACCTCATAGCCATCCACCTGGACGCCATCCTTACTTCCTTTTTTTGTGTGTGTTGGAGTCTCACTCCGTTGACCCGGCTGGAGTGCAGTGGCACACTCACCGCCACCCCAGCATCGACCTGCTGGGCTCCGGCAATCCTTCCGCCTCAGCCTTCCAAGTAGCCAAACTACTGGCGTGTACTACCATGCCCAGCTATCTGCTTCCTCTTTATTGTTTTACACCTTGAGCCTGACCATGTCCTGCTCTGTCCAGAATCTCCCCTTTTCTGTGGGGGTTATGGTCCAAGACCCCCAGCAGATTCTGGAAACCGCAGACAGTACTGAGCCCTGCAAAGACTATGTTTTTCCTATACACACACACTTATGATAAAGGTTAATTTACAAATTAGGCACAGCAAGTGACTAACAGTAACACAATATGACAATTTTAACAACAGACTGCAGTTAAGAGTTACATGAATGTGGCCTCTTTCCCCCTCTAAAAATATCTGACAGTACTGGACCTTTGGGAACTAAAATCCTGGAAAGCAAAACTCCAGATAAGGAGGAACTACTTGTAGAATTTTCCCCAACTCTTCATTTCAAGTGCATAGGGGCAAAAAACCTCACAGTAAACACTCGTCACTCAGGCTCAACCAATGTTCACCTTTTGCCGTGTTTTATCTTATATCCTAAATGATGTTTCTGGAGAATGTGGGGAAAGGGGTGGCTCTTACTTATGTGTTAAGTACTAAATCAAAGACTAACCACATGAGAGGGGCCCCCCCCCCCAAAAAAAACCCCAGAATTTATCCATAAAAAATTGTGTATTTATTCTTACCACTTTACACTTCAGTCATCTTCAAAGTCCTCTCCTACAGGATGTAATACACCTATCGAGATGCTTTTTCCACTGCTCAAAAACGTTTTTGAACTCATCACTTCTGATGCCTTTTAGTACTTGTTTTTTGTTTCACCTCTTCCACATTGGCACAACATTTCCCTTTGAGGACTTTTTTTTTCATCCAGGGAAACAAAGTCACTCAAGGCAAGATGGGGTGAATAGGGGAGGGTGGGGCGTGGGGGTCATTCTGTTTTTGTTCAAAAACTGCTGAACCTCAGCGTGGTGGGGGCAGGTGCATTGTCATGGTGGAGAACCAGTCACCCGTTTGCCACAACTAGGGATGGTTCTTCCACAGAGTGTGATGTAGCTTCAAAACTTCCAGATAAAAACTTTGGTCGACCGTTTGATCCAGAGGAACAAATTCTAAGTGTCCTATGAGGGTCCCACCCTCCAAAAGGCAATTTTGTTTTTTGGGGTCCCCCCTTGTATATCACTCCATACCCTTTCTCTCCCAAACTACACTGAAAGTCACGTGTAGTATTAAAATGCTTGGGTGTTACCAGACTGCGTACAAATCCCAAGCCTCCATAACTTGAGTCTTAGTGCCTAGGATAGACCGAGCATCCCCAAGTACACAATAGGCAGGCATTTAACAAATACTTGATAAACGAATTAGTAAGTCTAAGACAAAAATTCTCCCAAATACGTGGAAAATACACAATCTTTAAAAACCCAATTGTACGACAAATATCATCTTGTTCTATGAACTGGTACAAAAAAAGGACTAATGTGTCTCTGTATTCTTTATTAAAAATACTGCTGTACACATAGAGACTGAAACAGGATTAAAGATGAATAACGCGTATTGGGATCATGACATCAGAACTTAACATACTGGTGCTTTTTAGGGAAGTCGTTGACATCCAAATCACAGAACCAAGGTCAAAAGCAAAATATAAAGGTACCCTCAAAAATATTTACAATGAAGTAAATACACTAACAGGATTGTTAAATGGTACAAAAAACTGAAATGACCAGTGTGACATGATTTCAAAGGTTGTCCTTTCTGTGCTTTTATCTGTCATAACAGGAAGGTATGGGAAGTTTACAGCCTTAATTTGAGTACTCGCTGATATTAAAATCTTCCTATGAATTAAAAAGACTTTCAGACAACCTCTTAAATGGAATTACACTATGAAAAAGAGGGCTCCCCCAAAAAACACCTAAGCAGAACTGAGAGTTCTTCTGAAAACCATTCCCAATAAAAACTAAATGAAAAATAAATATAAAACAAAGCTAAAAAAATATGTGTTACCTGACACCAACTGTGTTCTGGCTGACAATATTCACTCATGAAAACACCAGCTGTCTACCTTTTATATGCAAACCAAGTCCTGAGGTTAACTAGGGGCTGAAGCAAGCTAGCATTTAGGACACGAACATTCGTGGGTGTGTGATGTAAACTTGCCCGCGAGGGAGTTTGCTGGTCTACACAGAAGGAGAAACTCAAGCCCTATTTTAACCCCTGCCCCTCTTGAGATTTCACAAAACATTGGTCCACAAATGAAATCTTCAAAAAGTTCCCAGACCCCAAAACTAAATAGATGATCCCCTTTCATTTTCAAAGAAAACAATATTGGAAAAAATCTCCAGCCCGCTTATAAATTAAGCATTTCATATTTCTTCTAGAATACAAGTAGTTCTTTTTTTGTACAAAAGAATTACAATATGATTTGTCAAAAAACATATAAAAAGACAGCTGCTCTTCCTCAAATACATGAGCTGATGATAAAAGACTTCTGCATGTTCACGTCTCCAAGTTCTCGTTCCTTTTACATGAAAAAGAACATTACGGTGGCAAATGTTAATTATCCTTTGAATATTGAACATTATGTTCTTTTAAAAATATATCCAGATCAAATGCAATAACTGATTTTCTTTTAAACTCAACAACTGATGCTACCGAACGTGGACTCATAAACACTTGTTAAAAGGTGTGAAGCGTGTCTCTGGTCTCCAAAGTTTTTGGGTGAAGAGAGGTGCTTTTTCTTGATGCAAATCTCAAGGCAGAGAAAATCGTTTTAAAGCTTATAAAAAGTGGACAGAGAAATATTAAAAACTTCTCTGAAACATACAAATACGTATAATTATTAAAATTGAAGACAGTAACATCAGTTGCAAGTGCTTGGGGTCTGTCCTGACCTTGTGAGTTTCCACATTTTCTTCATAGTTGCATGTGAGCACCCAGTGCTAGTAAAACATTCAGTGCTGGGAGGGGAGAAAGAGTCTTCGTTACTGTTTAAGAAAGAAAGTTCCTATGTATTTGGCAGTCTTTCCATATCAAAGTAACGGTATTTCATTAACTAGAAATTCCATGAATACCCAAGAGTTTGGTGACAACTGCATGTCCAAATATTAAGAAAGTTAAGAGGAGGAAAATTCCAGACTTCTGAGATGGACTTGCTCAGGAACATCCCATGGAGGGAGTTATTATCAGAAGTTATATGACTTTGGGCTAAGCAGTGACTGCAAAGGCACAGCAGATCATGATCCCTCCAGACTCAGCTGTCAAACGTCAGAAAGCTCTTGACACCAGACCACCGCTGAGGGCAGCGTCCTGAGGACAGTGTCTGTGCGCATCCAGTGTAAAGGACCGTAATAAAGCTGTGGCTCAAGAGCGGAACTCTGTACAAAAGCAAGCAACTGGGAAGAACCGGAAGTGAAACCCCTCAACTTCAGGCCTGTAACACCATTTCTTAATTTCTTTCTATTAAAAAAATTGCATAAATGTAAATGTATCTGGCTAGCAGGCAAATACCTTTTTTTAAAAAAGGCTCTGGCTGAATTTGGAAGGAAGAGCTATACACACTCCTTCAGTTCCTGTTATCCGATCTTTTTTCTAGAAAGAATTTAAATCAACTAATAGGGGAATTCATATCCAACAATTCACTGGTATTTCTCTTTTTGTGTTCTTCAAAATAAAACAAAAGTCTCCACCGGAACTAACAGTGGGTGGCATCCCAAGAGCTGGCGTCCAATCCTCTTGCAAGAATGGTGCACCATCCTGCACGTCTGTGGAACTGTTTACCTGGTCCATTCTGTTGCTCGGGGCAACTCACCCCAGAAAGAGTAGATTCTGCAACCCACAGTGGCAGAAGTGCCACCCAGCACCATTTCCCCAAAATGTCCTTGCAAACAGCTTCCCTTAGTAAGTATGTAATGTGGCAAAAGTTCAACGATCAGAAAAAAGTCTTTAAAAAATTAAAATTAGTGCATATACAAGTGGAAAAAACAAAAGCAGGAACAACATTCACCCGATGGTGCTCCTTAATCTCAGATGAATTCTTCACAGACACAGCCTCCAGCCATGGTCACAGCTCTGGGGGGACGAAACATTCTTCCTTTCAAGTAACAGTGAACCTGACTGAAGTGCATGCAGCTTCGCTCATCTGTTGGTTTCCTGGAGGTGGATGAGGTGATAAGACATTTCAGCTGTAGTGCAATATGCTATTGGTCGAGATCCTCAGCCATGTCTTGCATGCTTTTCAGTAAATACTACAACTGACCGCTTGCGGCTGCAATCAGTTCTTGGAAAGTATTTTCAAAGCAGCGCTTTAAGTCACTGTATGTCACCACAAGGACACTCTTCTCATCTCTGGAAATCAGGCTGATTTTTTCTGGCACACCAGCATCTAGCTGAAGTAGACAGACACACAAGATATCAGGTTCATACCAAGTGGAAGAGAATCGACTTTATCTGTTTTAGACATCTGGAACGATAAAGAACAGAATATCTAAAAACGTTTGGCCATGTTTCCTTTCAGATCCCTGAGCATCTTACGCCGTTGCTCATCATGCACACAGTTCTCAAGTCAGATGGCTTTCAAACCCACCCACCTTCTGTTTTGACCTGCCAGCTGACACTCCAGTGTAATCATTCCCCCAGCTTCCATTTCTTGTATCATGAATGCAATGAACATTTTCAGCTACTTAATTTTCTTCTTCTGCAGGAAGTATTAGGTTTTTCCCTTAGAATACTTAAAAGTAGAAACACTTAGAACAATTTAATAAACTATTAAGTGTACAGTAAGAATGGTTTAGGTTTTTTTTGAGTTGGAAGCTCATTTTGTTGCCCAGGCTGGAATGCAGCAGCAGGCTCACGGCCATCGCAGCCTCAACCTGCTGGGCTCAGGTGATCCTTCTCCCTCAGCCTCCCAAGTAGCTGGAACTACAGGCGTGCTACCATGCCTGGCTAATTTTTTTATTTATTGTAGAGACGAGGTCTCCTCAAGTTGCCCAGGTTCATCTCAAACCTTTGGGCTCAGATAATCCTCTCGCCTCAGCCTCCCAAAGTGCTGGGATTACAGGCTTGAGCCACTGCGCCTGGCCAAGAGTGTTTTCTTCTTTTGAGTTGGAGTCCCACTCTGTCGCCCAGTGGCCGCTCCCAGCCACTACAGCCTCAGCCTTCCAAGTAGCTGGAACTACAGGCGCGCGCTAATATGCCCGGCTAATTTTTGATTTATTGTAGAAATGAGATCTCGCCAAGTTGCCCAGGCGGGTCTCAAACCCACGGGCTCAGGCAATCCACTCACCTCAGCCTCCCAAAGGCGCGGGATTACAGGCTGAGCCACCGAGTACATTCAGCCAAACTGTTTTTCAAAGGACATAAATTAGACCCACTGATTTGAAATTTGTAATAATTTACTATCAACTAGTTCCTTATCAAATGAATGTCTTGCTCTTTTTCAACTTATATTTGTATTAACTATTATTATCAAGCTGTTTTTCTACGCTTACTTTTGATATGTCCACTTGTGTAATTGCTAGTCTATAATCTTTGCCCATTTATTTATCGGGATTTGGAAGTAATATTTTAGTGAGGCCTTTATAAAGCATAAATATTAATCCTTAGTCCATCAAACATCTTGTCTTGTTATGGTTTTCACTTTATTTTGGTTAGCTTTCAATGTGCCTTTCTTCGATTTCCTTATTTCATTAACTGATAAATTAAAATAAGATTAAAACTCACTGAAGGCTCAAAATTCAATCACTGGTCCAGTTAATTTCTGTTGTAATTTCCACCAAAATAAGCCTATATAAAATCTTAATTTTCAAATAATCAATATGACCATCCTCCCTTTTTAATTTATTACACTGGTTACAAGCTTAGATTATTATCACACTTCAGATTTGGGATATCATTTACTACTATTTTATGACATAAAACAGAATTTTCTTTAAATTTTCAATTACCCTAATCACTAAATAATCTTTGCTTAGGGTAACTGTCCATGGCTTATTCCACAGAATCTACTTGTCAATGTTTATATTAGTCATACACATTTTTAATTACTGGTGTTTTGGCACCATGGATACGGGGCTCTAAAATCTGTTAGAATTATTCCCCACTCAGTGCTCTCAAGAAAAGGTTTTAGAGCATGGCGTGGTGGTTCACGTTTATAATCCCAGCACTTTGGGAGGCCAAGGTGGGAGGACTGCTTGAGCCCAGGAGTCCAAGACCAGCCTGAGCATCATAGCAAGACCCTGTCTCTATAAAAATAAAAACACAAGTTTTGTCCTTAAGAGGAATAAAGGGAAAATTAATATATAAATCATACTGAATTAGTTGAATGGTACATACCATTTTGTGCTGTCTTAGTATAGGTTATTGACAGCAGTCTCTAAACAGTTTTAAGGAAATTCAAACAGGGCAAAGTAGTGCTTATAAATAAACCACATTATCCCTGAAGGGTTCCTGCACAGCTCATTAACAGTTCTAAATGACGCGCTGTAGCAGGTACATGTAGTGGGTATTTTCTGATAAACTAGGATAGTTCACACCAAGGGTCAGCAATGTTTCCCATCAAGGACAGACAGGAAATGTTGTAAGTTTTGGGGGCCACATACAGTCTCTGTCATATTTTCTTTGTTGCTTGTTTTACAGCCCTTTACAAATCTAAACTATTTGTACTTACAGACTGCACAAAAAGAGGCTATTGAACGGATCTGGCCCACGGGCCCAGGTTTGCTAACCCCTGGTTTAAACACAAACCTGCACAAAGGCTAGGATTTACTTCTGGAAGTTAGTTCTAAACGCCATCATTCCAAGTAATGCATAAGGAAAATGAATTCCTTCGTTTGGTTTGTTTGTTTGTTTGTGTTTTTAAAGAGACATGGTCTCGCTATGTTGCCCAGGCTGGTCTTGAACTTCTAGGCTCAAGCGATCCTCCTGCCTCAGTCTCCTGAGTAGCTGGACTTTTGACACATGCCACCATGGTTCATGGCTCCTTCTCTCTTTTGTAAATTTTATCTCCCAGCCCTTTCAATAACATAAAGCTCACCACTCAAATACATTTATGGCATATCTCTATCTACTCAATCCATCCAATCACTGATTTCACCATTTATAACAGCTGGATCTACTCATGTTACTATTACTGTGCTTTTTTATTTTCATAATACTTGATGATAACACCTGTGGTTAACAATACATTGGTAACAACCAACACAACTCACAATGACTTAAAAAAAACAGGATTCAATTTTTAAAAAATACTTACAAATTATCTTTCTGTTTTACTACTTATTGCTATAACTGGTTATGACAAAATAGCATGTAAATGAAATACAGTACAAAGGAGAAAAGCAACCATTTTATGACACTATCATAATAAAACAATCTGCAGTAAAAATTCTAAGATTATTCTTGCAGGTGTTAAAAAATCCTTCCCTAGAAAATGTTATTAACAGAATGCCTTACAGGCTACAATAAGAAGTCTCCTAGCACTTGAAGATATAACTCTATAAATTGTAGGAATGAGCTTCAAAATCCAAACCCAAGTTACCTTGTTAAGACAAGAAATGATATGACTGAGGTCGATCCAAGGAGCACCCGCTTCTGTCACCTGATGGAAAAGATGATCCCTAAAGAGCTTCAGCAGGTAACGGTCCCCAGTCTCTGCCCACGTAGGATCCTTCTGAAACCTGGGGCAGTTAACATTGTACCTCAGCCACTCATGATGTGACATGACCATACGCTTATTTTTCAGACTCAAAGCTAGTTTAATTTTATTTTTTTCCCAATAAATAAGAAATCAGAAGTTTCTGGCATACGTATTTAAAACATACTCAATGAACATAAACTACATGAATTGCAGTTTTCCATTCTCGGGTAATCACAGCCTTGTGCACTCCTATTTTAAATCCTTCCCCAGTGCAGTCTCTACCATTAGATTAAATTGGCTTGGGTGATGTCTTTTGATAGCCCTGGACCAAGGCTGGAAGAGAACATTCTTTTCTACCTTCCACACTAACACTACATATGAGAGTAGAGAGGTGGTCAGATAAGCAAGCGTCAGAGGAAAGTTCAGAAGTGAAGTGGCCTGCAGCTCTCTATCACTCCACCAGGGAACCAGCCGTGAGACCTGGACAGTTAGGTGACCACTGCCAGTGTTCAGAGGTCTGGGTCACTGACAGGCCAGTGGGGAAAGAGGTGTCATTCAAATAACCAAAGTAAGTTGTGAATGCATAATGAGATGACAAGAAAAGGACAAGATATAGAGGAGAACCATGAATTCATCAGGGAACTCTGGAAGGGTTTCCAGAGAAAGGATGCCCCTTAGTCAGAGGGACCCATATGTGCAAAGGACAGCATGGAGCACTGGACACAGAAGAAGGGTCAGTTTGTCTGAGTGGGATTGGGAGGGAAAAGAGAAGAAAAAGAATACAAGGGGAGGGAGGGAAGGCAAGGAGGGAAACAGGGAAGACAAGGGAGGGGAAAAAACTAAGGGGAAGAAAAGACAGATCTGAAAGGTGAGAAGTAGGACCAGGCCATGCAACCCTAGATTATGTTAAAAACAAAACAAAAACTGGCTCTTATGAGCCAAGGAGAATAGTGTGTAACCTGCAGTCCCAGTTCCTCAAGAGGCTGAAACAGGAGGATGGCATGGGCTCAGGAGTTTGAAGCAGCCGTAAGCTACGATCACATCACTGCACTCCAGTTTGGGTGGCAGACTGAGACCTCATTTCTTTTTCTTTCTTTCTTTTTTTTGTAAGTAGGATTTATTGAGAGGACAGAAAAGCTTCCACAGCGGGAGGGGACCTGAAGGGGTTGCCCGAGACCCCATTTCTTAAAAAACAAAACACTAGGTCTTTATTCTAAGAATGAGAGGAGCAGCTCACCATATGGTTTGAACATGATCACATAGGTGTTTCTCAGAGGTCACTCTAGGGACTTCCAATTACAATACCTATTCATCTCTGATCCCTTCAAAAGCCCACCGAATTGACAATAAATGTCTTAAAAGGGTATAAACACAAGGACAGAGGGACCCAGAGAAGCAACAATAGTGAAAAAGGGATATTCACAAGATCTGGAAAAGAGAGGGCAGATATGTGAGCAAGATGACTCAGACACGATCAAACCGAGCCCAACGTGGTGGGGGCCGTGGAAAGGGAGGCCCAGAGAGCAAGGCACACACAGCGGAGGCTCAGAAACGTGTGCCACCAGGACTGTGGGGGCAGGTGTGGATGAGGCTGGGGAGCAGGACTGGAATAAGGGCGACATGCAGCACATGGATGACCCAGTCCTCATCCACATCTCTGCTTGGAGCACATGTGGAGGATGACTTTCTAGAAAGGGAGAGTCAGAGCAGCTCCAGCCTCAGGGTCACCAGGTCAAGCAGACACCCAGACTGCACAGGAGACACAATTCAGCAAATGGCCTTCCCCCTCCTGCTCCTGAACCTTGGCTGTCAGGCTCAGACCACAGACAGCAGGCTGGAGATTCTGCCCAGGGGACGCTGACCCACCTAAGAGAAAGGGCATCTGGGGACCTACCAAAAATAAACAAAAGTCACAAACAAAATATTAACTGCTTTATCTCCCAGAAAAAGCTCAACACTCTTCAATCCCTGCCTCCACACAGAGCTACCCATTACTCCTAAATTTTTTTTTTTTTTTTTTAGAAACAGGGTCTCACTCTGTTGCCCAGGCTGGAGTGCAGGGGAATGATCACAGCACATAGCAGCTTCGAGCTCCCTCTTGCCACAACTCTCCAAGCAGCTGGGACTACAGGAGCATGCCCCATTTGCCCCGAAGGCCTCATCTTAACATGAGTAGACAGCCTAGGATAAGCAATCTTTTGAAAAAGAAAAATACATACATAATTAAAGCAAACCCTTGTTTCCTATGAGATACTGCAGAGAACAGAACAAAACTAAAAAAACTCAACCACCAACAACAAAATCTGTAACTGACAGCCTCAAAGAAACAAGAATTAGTTGGTATAAGACAAACACAAGAGAATACAAAAGTTATTAAAAATTGAAAATACAAGAGCAGAAATTTAAAAATTTAAAGAGATAAGAAAAAACTTTAATTTTAGATAAGTTGAGATAACTGCCTGAAAAGTAGAACAAAAAAACCCAGGAGATAGGAAATAGGAGAAGAGACTATCAGAAACTCAACTGCAAAGGTCTAACATAGCAATGGGAATTCCAGGAAAAGAATTTATTAAAGAAACAACAAAGACCATTCCCAGAACCAAAGGACGTAAGTTTCCAAGATTAAAGAGGCCCACCTGTTATTATGCATCAAAAACCCACACCAAGGTGCATCATCGTGAATTTCTGAACAGCAGTGACAAAGACCCTAAAAGCTTAGAGGAAAGGAAGGATTTGAAAATAAAATGGTTTTGATTCTGTCTGGAAGTTAACAGAACAACATAACAAATTCTGAACAAAATTATAATTACTGTTATTCATCCATATACTGGAAGAGTCAGTTAACACAATCACTCAAGAGAAATTAAAGGCACAGAAACTGGAAAGAAGAAGATGTAGCTGTCATTATTTGCAGATGGCACAACTAAATTAATACCTGGGAAACCCAAGAGAATCTACTGAAAAACTAAACAGTAAGGTAGCAGAGTACTAACTTTACAGAAATTAAGATTTGTCATGTACACCAATAAAAAGCAGAAAGAAGACAGGATGGGGAAAAAAATCCTATATATAATAGCAACAAGACAAAAACCTAAGAATAAACTCTGTGTGCTGTAACATAAAGAACAACTTAGATATTCCTGAAGAATACAGAAGTGGACATCAACCAATAGAATGGCATCTGTGATCTGGTTAAGATGACTCAACACCTCAAGTCACAAGGGCTGCTTACGATTTCGACAAACACAACATGTTATCTTCTGTAGAAAAAATACATCAGGCTTTTTTTTGGGGGGGGGTGGCATTAAACTAAACAAGCTGATTCCAGACTTTTAGACAGAAAAGTTAAACAGTTTTAGCAAAACAACAACAATGAAATGGAGACAGAAAAGAACTAATACTACTAGATTTTTAAACCTCAATCATTAAAACAGTGTGGAAGAGGGCCGGGCACAGTGGCTCATGCCTGTGACCCCAGCACTTGAGGCCAGCCAGGGCAACACAGCAAAACCTTGTCTCTACAAAAAATTAAAAAATTAGTTGTGTGTGGCAGTACACCCCTAGTTTCACTACTCAGGAGGCTGAGACAAGAGAAATGCCTGATCCCTGGAGGTCAAGGCTGCAGTGATCCCTGATTATGCCACTGCACTCCAGCCTGGGCAACAGAGTGAAACCCCAACTCCACTAAAAACAGTATTGAACAGGGGCAGCTTCAAAGCACTGGGGAAAAAGCTCAATTACCCAATAAATAGCTTTTGAAGTACTAGGTATTCTTCTGGTCTTCTGGAGGTGGAGGCGGGGAGGAGCTCAATCTACACATTATACCCTACATAATTCCTAACTATATAAAACATTTTAGCCGGGCTCAGTGGCTCAGCCTGTAATCCCGCGCCTTTGGGAGGCTGAGGTGTGTGGATTGCCTGAGCCCGCGGGTTCGAGACCCGCCTGGGCAGTGAGACCTCATCTCTACAATAAATCAAAAAATCAGCCGGGCGTGGTAGCGCATGCCTGTGATTCCGGCTACTCGGAAGGCTGAGGCAGAAGGATCACCGGAGCCCAGCAGGCAAGGCTGTGGTGGCCGGAAGCGGCCACTGCACTCCAGTCTGGGCGACAGAGTGAGACTCCAACTCAAAAAAAAAAAAAAAATTTTTTCAATATGAAAAAGTGAAACCGCAAATGTTCTAGAAGAAACCAGGAAATAATTCCTTCATAACCTTGGAATGGAAAAGGTCTTTCTAACTGTGACTCAAAATCCAGAAGCATAAAAAAAGATTGATCAATAGAAGACATAACACAAATGTCTACAAGAGGGGAAAAAAAGATAGCAGCTTGAAAACTGCACAGAACAGCTCTATCTCTTATACACCAATAGGAAAGACAGGCAATCCAACTGGAAAGAAAAGGAAACGGGAGTGGATAAAAAGCAAAAAAGATATCCAAACATTCTCACCGAGAGTAAATACAAACTAAAACTGCAGCAAAATTCAATTTTTGGAAGGTTAACAAAAATCCAGAAGTGTTTTAAGAAGTATTCCTGACAAGAGACACTCATGAATTACACACTGGTGATCATCTCTTCTGCAACAGCTATGAAGTCACAGTGACGTACCCCAGACCTGGCACACTCCACCAGGCCTACATTGATGTAAATACAAAATTAAGTATGCGTAAGTTAGTCCTGCAGCAAGACTGGGAACAACCCAAACGCCCACCAAGGAGACTGGAGAGATGAGACCGCATCCATAGGATGAGCTATCACGGGGCCCTCCAAGTGTAAGGAGACAGCACAGGGGGACTGAGAGCACGGACACTGAAGCCACAATGTCCAGATCAGAGTTCTGGCTCACACTGCTCCTAACTATGGGATCCTGGACAAGTGAATTCACCTCTCCATGTCTCAGTTTCTCTGTTAAATGGAAATAACGGTATCTCCGTTGTAAGGCTGCCATGAGAAGAAAGGTTGTATTTGTAAGCTATTTAGAACATAGAATAGTGCTTGGCGTACCCCAAACATATCTAAGCAAAGATTTCCAAAATCCATTGTTATGAGAAAAAAGCAAGGTACAGAACACTGCACACATGGTTTACAATTTTTTTTTTTGGAGTTGGAATCGCCCTCTGTCGCCCAGGCTGGAGTGCAGTGCATGCTCACAGCCACCACAGCCTCCTGGGCTCAGACAATCCCTCTGTCTCAGCCTGAGGTGTGTGCCACCACGTCCAACTAATTTTTTGACTTACTGTAGAGATGAGGTCTTGTCAAGTTGCCCAGGCCAGTCTTGAACCTCTGGGGTCAGGCAATCCTCTCACCTCTGCCTCCCAAAGTGCTAGGATGACAGGCATGAGCCACCACATCTGGCACGGTTTACAATTTTTATATTTTAAAGGGATGGAGAAGAAGTATACACAGATGTATTTCTAACTCTGGAAATATGTACAAAAAACTAAAAATAAAAACTGATGGGGCAAATGGGAAGACACAATAGGTGCCATATGAAAAAGAGACTTTCTAATTTTCACTACCAACTTTTTTTTTATTTTTAAAAAATTTGCTCATATTTAAGTTATTCAAAACATTTAATCAATAGAAATTTTCTGAGGATAATCTAGAATTTTATATGCTGGTTTATTGTCAATAAGGTGTGAAAGCAGAATAAAAACATTTTCAGACTTGCAAGGATACAAACTTACCTTTCTCAGGAAGCTACAGAGGGAGGCAGTCCATTAAATCAAAAGAAACAAACCAAGGGAAACAAGAGACAGCACAACCAACAGAGAGAGGCAGTGAGAGCCCGGGATGGCAGTGCAGGGAGGCTGTAGTTCTACAGAGAATGTATACGGACTTGGGCCTCACCAGCCCAGTGGGGGCGGGGGCGGAGGTACCAGGCAACTTCTCTAAGGGGGAGAAGAAAGGAACTGATTGGTTACCTATCGTTGACCCCATGTAAAAAGATGTTTTGTCTCTCTGGCCAAGAGCTTGAACAAACTTGTGGTAGATATTTTTTTCATTTACTTTGCTTTCTATGTAAGATGATTAACTCCAGGAAACAAAAACAAAAAAAATTGTATCGAAGCAAGGCAACATGATCATGCTTTATTAAGTGGTGTAGCTATAAAATAATATTTATCTAGTCAAGTCATAATAATGTCAACAATGACTACAGATTTAACTCAAAATGTATGGGTTATAAGTGGCGGAATGTGTGTGTGTGTGTGTGTGTGTGTGTGTGTGCTTTGAGGGAAGAGAATAAGTAATTAGATGAATTAAATATTGAGGGGGAAAAAAAATCAAGATTTAGCACCATAAGCACACATTAAAGAGATCAATAACAGAAGAAACAGCTAAAAGAGTTTTCAAAAAATGGTTCAATACATATTCCCCCCACATTTAAAATAATCATTAGGGAAAATCCTAACTGAATTCTTTAACTTTGAAGAAAGGCAAGTAAGACTTGAACTTCATGGTCAAAAAAAAAATCCCTGTAACAATATACTTATCTATCATCTACTTCTAATGACAAACACATGAAACGTTCCTGAAATGTAACTTAACACCATAACACAATAGGTACAATTCTGTTCTACTCATCTTTACCAGTTATGTAGCATAAATATTAACTCTGCTTATGAAGATACATTAACTTACAAATAAGGAGGAACTAAATGTCAAATAGTGTAAAATAGTGATCTTTCCAATGTTCCTGATATGATAGCTATAAAAAATGCACTTATTTAATAGAAGGTAACAGATATGCAACAATTAGAGATTCCAGAAGTCTCTAAACCGACCAAGGTAAACTGACTGGAGACTTTTTCTTCAAAAAGAAGATCAGGTAGAGGCAGTATTATCTGTAGTAAGATGTTCCCTCATGTGCAAATACAATAGTTTTCTAACACGGCATGCTTTCCGAATGTGTACATGTGTATACAATTGGTAAGGATAACCACACCCAGACCGTGGTTAAAAAACAGCACCCAAATGGTTCACACAGTTTTAAGGTCGCTTTCCGTGAGAGTGTTTCTCTTTTTCCAAAGAAAACCAGGTATACTCATTTTCATTATGCCAAATAGTGCCCTTGATTAAAAAGATATTGTAAATATTGTAGATCCTTACTCTGGCCTCTCATTGATTGTTCCCAATTTTGCTAGAAGCCTAAACAGTCTTCCATTCTGAACCTCCTATAAAACATTTTAAAAAGAGAGAGAACGTTAATGTTCCAGATAACCGAATATGAAAGCCAGAATGTACAACTGGCATCTTGCACCAATATTACCTTTAAACAATCCCCACCTTTTGGTTCTATTTTTAAGCAATCCCTACCTTTAAGCAACTCCCACCTTTGGGTCATATGTTTAAGTTCATTACACCAAATCATAGTACTCGAAGTTATGGAGCTGAACAAGATTTTTGTCACATGACTGTAGCAAAGCCATGAATAAAAAGAACACATTGCACAGAAAAGACAGAAATTGAAATGCTAAAGGTACAGTCTGGGCAAAAATACCCGCAATCTTAGCACAGCAGGCCCTGTATTTAGCACAATGATTACTTCGTGTCTGTGGATACACACAGGTCCAGGTTTGCGTATACTCTGAACTCTACTCTTTACCTTTGCCAGGTCTTCCTCTATGGCATCATTTCTCATTTGAGCAGCATCCAATTGAGTATAAAATCGAGCACCAATCATAGGCATGATGTCATTTACACTCCGCATCCTGTTTTGGTCAGTCAACAAATACCTAACCAAGATGAGAGAGGAATCACGCGGAAGCCCATCAGCGGTGTAAAATACAGCACCCTCCCAGAGCTGCCGCCGCCATCATTTCAGCACACACAACGTGAAAACGCTCTTTCATGCAAGTCAAGTTCACATGTAAAGCATAAATAGATTTCTTTTCGCTGAAAAACTATAAGAGCCAATGGAGAAAGTGGAAACACGTCTCTTCTCTACATTTTCACTACTTTGGAAATGAGAAAGGAGAGTCGGGTCACACTTACCCCTTTCCATTCTCAAACCTTTCTTTACAACAGTGCTAGGGGAAAAGATTGCTACAAACGTTCTGAGAGGAGTCAAGTGGGAGGATCTGGGGGGGGGGTGGAGCACGTCCCGGTGCTCTTCACAGATGGTTCTTGAAACTACACTAGGTCTTCGATTTTGCTAGCGAATGGCCCAGCTTGTGAGGAAGCTGCCCTCTGCTTGCGATTTTATTTACCAGCTGTCATATTCATTTCTGAGAAATCTTCACGCACTAACACACATCAGAAGAGACCAGTTCAATTTCTTCTATCATGATAACGAAGGCAGAAAATATTACATATTTCAAGGGCTACCTGTTAGAATACAAAGATTCCCAATCACTCAACACTGCCACTCTCTGAGCTCCTTCACGAAACCGCCTCCCCCCCTCCTTCCCTCTGCTGCTGACATTCTCCTATTTTCTTCATCTGTAACTATCTCACTTGCTTGTGTGTTTATTAACTTTCTCCCCATAAGGGCACAAAAGCTCCCGAAGCCAGGAACTCTGTTCATCTTGTTCAAAGTATCCTCAGCATTTGGCATATAGCAGGCATGGTTTTGTTGGGTAAACAGTTATAGCCGGGTGAATGGTCTATGTCTTAGCTAGTCATCTGTAATTACTGACATACTTGTATCTAGCCAATCCTACTGAAAGTTATTACAGGCCTTGTGACTTTGACAAGTTACTTTGACTCCTTCTGACCCAGTTAAATCCTCTCTAAAATGGGGCTAAATAATGGCATTTAACTAACAGGGCGTAAAAATCAAATGAATTAATCCATGTCAAGCAGTTCAAAAGTGTCTGATACATGGTATATTCATAAATTTTAGTTTGTGGTTATTACTGAAGTATGCCTCTTTGGTTATTTCATTTCTTATTAAAGAAAATCTCAAACATTTGTAAAAGTAGAGACAAGAGCAGTATAATGAATTCCCATGTATCATCACCTGTTTCAATAATCCTAACATTGGTCACTTGGTTATATTTATACCTTCTACGCCCACTTTTTTTTTTTTTTTTTGAGTTGGAGTCTCACTCTGTCTCCCAGACTGGAATGCAGTGGCCGCTCCCAGCCACTGCAGCTTCGACCTGCTGGGCTCCGGCGATCCTTCCACCCCTGCCTTCCGAGTAGCTGGAACTACAGGCGTGTGCTGCCACGCGCAGCTAATTTTTGATTTATTGTAGAGATGAGGTCTTGCCAAGTTGCCCAGGCGGGTCTCGAACCCGCGGGCTCAGGCAATCCACTCACCTCAGCCTCCCAAAACGCGGGATTACAGGCTGAGCCACCCAACCCAGCTTACGCTCACTTAAAAAAAAAAAAAGTTTCGAATTGATAACCTAAGGTAATATGAGACATCCTGGGTGTCTAAAGCTAAGGCTAAGTATCACTGCTGTGATCATACGTTGAGCAAATATTCTCATTTAAAGGATAAATCATCTGAGTTGATTACTAATAGGATCCAGACAACTCCTGCCTTCCCATGCTCTGTCACAAGCAGGACATTGATGCTAGTGCAACAAGATCAGGTGGGCAGTCCCATCCTCCATCCCCCAGTTCATACCCCAGGGCTGGTCCAAAAAGAAACGGGATCATCCGGGGCTACACAGAAAGACCAGAAGGGGCAGCTGTAAGCTAAAAGAGACTGAGGATTAGCATCTCTCCTCCAGGACAGCTCACACCTACAATCAAGGGCATGACTGCCCACCCTCTGGAATCGCCTACATGAGATGGATCCTAGGGAGAAGGCCTCCGGTGGTGACAGTCGTTCACAGTGGGTTTTTCTTATGCCACATTCATTTTGAACCTACACTCAAGGATTCTCTAGAATCTTAAGACACTGTAGCAACTCTTGGGACCCTCTACATACATGGTTTCCAGAGGGGGCTCTAACCAGAGTAGACAGCTAGACTGCACCTGAGGCCTGTTCACGACTGCTTTCACCCGCTCTAGAGCACACTCAACAGAACTCTGGACAATGGGGAGGTTCCATGTCTGTGCTATCCAGTTACGCCAGCCAATAGCTACACGTGGCTGCTGAGCTCTTGAAATGTGGCTCAAGTACCTGAAAGTCTGAATTCCAAATTTTAATTAATATTAATTTACATGGTCATGTATAACTGGTAGATGCCAGTACAGCTCTAAAGGGTGCCCCCTGACCAAATGTTTAAAACATCCATAACTAACTTAAACACAATGGTTTATGAATTGATTCTAAGAAATACACACTTAGCAATAAAAATAAATTAAGAGTTGTTTGTGTTTTGCTTGATTTTAAATAGTGGGAACTAAAACAAAATGACTGTTAAAAGGCCTCTTGAAAATAAGCAATACTCAAAATTAAATCAAAAACACTATCTTATCTCACATGATCATTATATACATTTCATCATATGTTACAACTTACAAAATCAGATTCTTCAGGTCAGAGGAATAGTTGATTGTCACCAGTTCCATGGCTTTCTGTAAATTCTCTCGCTGAATTCCTGCCAAAGAGTTGCAAGCCAAAGCCAACACAACTTTTCCTAATGATATCAGATCTGCTTGCTGACATGAAAGAATAAATACAACTTTTAATTTTAATTTCACAGGCACACATTTCATACACTGACACTACCTCCTAAATGGAAAAAAAACGTCGTTATAAACAAGCTGCAGAACTTAGGGTAGGGTTCTCAAGTATCAGTGATCCTCAGAATCACCTGGGAGCTTATGAAAAAGACGATTTCTGAGTCTGCCTGCCTGCCAATCTCAAGCACCCAGATCATTCTGATGGCGGCAGTTCAAGGCCACACTTAAGAAACTCTAAACAATTCACAGGCCAAATACAGATTGCTGCTTATAAAAGGTTTTTGCTTTACTCATTTTTTTAATTTAAGTAAAGCTGATGTTCCTCTCTATTACAAACTGAAGGTTACTACACACCTGCTATACTACAATTTAAGACATCCACTTTTCTCATTTTCCATGTCTCCCAGAATATAGTGTGAGTGTGAAGATTTAGAACTTGAAGAAAAGTTATCCTATTACAAACATAAGCATTAACCTGATAGGAGAGCAAGTTTTCTAGAACATCAAAAATGCTGCAAACTTCAATGACATCCCATCCGTCTATTTCCAAGTAGACTATTTTAACTTATACTATCACTGATCTCTAAGCCCTGAAAGCACATGCTTTCCTACCTTCCCCCCCCTCAAGATTTACCATCCTGAGGCTTTCCTTCTAATAAGATTCTCAAAAGACAGCTCGTCATTGCCCATTATGACTCCAGGAAACAGTATGGTCATCCCAAGCGGCCCTGCTTGGTAGACAACTATTAAACAATCACATGCCTTAGAGAACTAACATGAAATCATTTGAAGCAATTTCTCCAAATTCCGAGATCCATCTGAACCATTAGATAGATGCATGTTCACTGACTGAGTGTTGGTTTGTTGTAAGTAGCTTTCAAGCCTAGCTGTACATTAAAATCATCTGAGAAACTTAAAAATCATCTGGTAGCCATTCCCTCATCCCAAGTTTGGTATTATCATTGGTATGTTCTTTTTTTTTTTTGAGTTGGAGTCTAACTCTGTCGCCCAGACTGGAGTGCAGTGGCACACGCCCGGCCACCGCAGCCTCAACCTGCTGGGCTCCGGCGATCCTTCTGCCTCAGCCTTCCAAGTAGCTGGAACTACAGGCGCACGCTACCATGCCCAGCTAATTTTTTCATTTATTATAGAGATGAGGTCTCGCCAAGTTGCCCAGGCGGCTCTCAAACCCAGGGCTCAGGCAGTCCACTCACCTCAGCCTCCCAAAGTGCGGGATTACAGGCTGAGCCACCGAGCCCGGCTATTGGTATTTTTAAAGTTTCCACAAGAGATCCTGATATGCAGCTAGGGTTGAAAACCATTGAGTGAGTGGAGTATCTGTAAGTCATATATTTGGGAAATTGTGTATTTGAGGGCAATTGATAATAAAATGTTAGCACCATCTGGCTATCCTTAACATTTTAATGATAAGCCAAATAATAAGAAATAAGAGGAAGCCACACTTCATTACTAAAATAACATTTAAAAGTTTCTATTTAAAAATATCTCTAGGCCAGACATGGCGGCTCACTCCTGTAATTCTAGCACCTTGGGAAATCAAGGCAGGAGGATGACTTGAGGCCAGGAGTGTGAGACCAGCCTAGGCAACATAGTAAGACCCTGTCTCTGTTCTTTTTTAAATAATAAATAAATACAATATCTAAAACTGACATTTGTGAATCAGACACTTTGAACATGAGCACCTAGAATTAGGAGGAGGAGGATCAGGACCCGTAACTACAGAAGGGAGGGAGCACTAACTAGATGGTTGCCGTCATTCCTGCTCTCTGAAGGACAATGCTACTGACTCCAAGAGGGAGCCCCTCACTCGCACTTTAGACCAGATACAACAAGTTGGAGCAACTCAATTGTACAAATCCTGGTCAAAAGAGATCAGTGCACGTAAATGCCAACTGTACATTTCTATAGGCTATTTCAATCCCATCAGCAAAACAAACCGAAGGCTGTTGTTATTCGTCATGATTTGCACAGCATGTACCAACTCTCAGCCTTCCAGCCTTTAAGGCTGCGGAATTCTCCCTTTGGGTCCACCCTGAATTGACGTTGTATTAAGCCTCTCTCCTAGAACATTCCATTATTCCCTGTTATGGGACAGAAAAACAAAGGCCTGAGACAGCTGAAGAACTGGACAGATTAAAAAACTAAGAAATGTGATTCTGAATACATCCCACCACCTCTCCAGAAAAGCTGACTCCAGGTGGGAGCAACCACTTTTAGAAATAAAGAATACATGTGACATAAATCCAGACTAAATAAGAATTGATTTTTTTTTTTAAACAAAAGAAGTTAACAGAGTCTTGCCTAATGAAGAAGTTTAATGTAAAAGCTCAGGAACTCTCCTTTCCTTACTCCCCAGCTACATCATTTCTCGTTGTTTATTTTGCTTCTTACCTCCATCTGGTTCCCCCCCTCAACTCATTTTCAGTTTCTTCCTGATTCTTGATTTCTTTCTCTGATTCTATCTATGGCTCTACTTTTGTCCATCTTACTCAAAGTCAGCCTCTATTCACATGTCTGAAACAGACTATGAAAAACAGACTACAAGAGACAATGCACTCCTTTCTCGTGTCCCCTTTTCTCTGTAAAATCATCCTCCCCATTTTGGGACTCTCTTTAGTTCTCTCCTATATCTTACTATAATAAGCTATATAAAAAGTCATCTACACACACACAGTCATAAAAACAAGAAATAAAAGAAAGCCTGATACATCCCTTAATGATGAAAAAATAAAGACAAAGTGACAATTGGTTGAAGATTGCCTGATTTTATGAATTAGGGCAGTTCCTGACTTGTAAATAAGCCACCCTAAATGCTTACTTCCTAAAAGCTGGTTGGTTGTTGACAATAACAACAGCCTTCGGTTTGTTTTGCTGATGCGATTGAAATCACCTATAGAAATGTACAGTTGGCATTTACATGCACTGATCTCTTTTGACCAGGATTTGTACAATTGAGTTGCTCCGACTTGGGATGTTGTATTAATTTCTTAGTTTCTACATGTGGTATATTATGCTTAGGAAATTAACAATCACATAAATATTAGAGCACCCTTGCCTTTACTTCCCTTTGTTAAGGAGGCCTGTAATTCTGGTTAGGGATTGTGACTAAGGTGATTTGAGCCTGGGAGGTCTTTTGTTTTGCAAACATTGAAGCTCATTCTCCCTGGCAGGGGATAATTGACGCAGATTGTAAACACCAGGTATGACATTATGGAAAGCTAGTCAGGTCAAAGCTAGGCACACAACCCATGAGATAACTGAAATACGACACCTTCACAAGCTACAAGTAGAAAGTGGAATCCTGTTGTGACACTCACAGAAAAACCAAATTGCCCTAGTCTTATTTTATACAGTATTAAAAGAAAAGGAACCCTATTCACAGAAATAAATACAGTGATACTTTAGGGCATGTGTTTTGTTTTTGCTTTAACAGGTACAATGGATTTCTAGATACAACAGAAGATGATGGTGTTGGCTCTAAAAAATATATAACCTTCCTTCAAGAATTTAACATTATTTGCTTGGGTATATAAGGTCACTAGTATTTTATAGGCAATAATCATTCATTTCTGGAAGCACGAAGATTATGTGGGTTAAGTGTAAGTCAGAAGATTTGCAGGAAAGTGTTTAAGAAGCCACCACGCTAGATGAGAGAGAAGGAGAAAAGTCCTCAGGCAGAAGAAAGCTGCAGCTAGGGAAAGAGAAGTAGCCTGGCTCCTCCTAGCCGTGTCCACGAGATGCTGCTAGCAACCAGACAGCCTGGCCACAGCTGGGACTGGGGGGTACCAGCAGAGGGGCGGGGGAGGGCGGCATGAGAAGCCTGCCGACCATTGAAGGCAAACAGGGCCTGTGTATCAACAGTGCTCTCTGGCTCAGCAGCGAGAGGATTGTGCATGAATCAGATACTGAATGCTACTAAGACTCTACTTCTTCTCTGTCCTTTTCATTTTTGTTCTGAAATTCTGTCTTATACAAGTGAACTAAACTCTTCTTTCAAAACTTTAAACAAAAAAAGGTAAAAGAGCAAAGGGAAGGGAAGGTGTTCCTCCATTTGACTAAGAGATTCTGTCTTAGATCAAATCTTAATAAATGCTTAAAAAACCCCAAAACCTCCTACACACAAGGAACTAAAATTGTCTTAGAATCACAGTTGCCTATCCTAATGTGAAGCATTGCGATACAAACTGAATGACATGGAGATTTACTTCAGTCCCATTACCTGTGGAGTAATCGAGGTGGAAGCAACTGTCCTTAATGCTTGAAGGACTTAGGTCCTTATTGTCTGATACCTTCTCATAGTAATAAGGAAATAAGAAATAGCCAGGGGGCTAAATCAACAATAACAGAATGAAGTCAGACACTAGCCAAATTCTGGTAATGTACCCAAAAAAGCATGATACATTCTGACTAAACAAAAGAAAACAATTACTTAGAAAATGGCAACCAAACAATATGCCTTTGAAAATATGCCTAAAATAGTATGGCTCGTAGTGAGATAAGTGTCCTAAAAGTAAAAAGAATAGGTGTGATTAAAGTGAAAAAGAAGGGTGTCATTTAATACAATCCATTCAGCTGACTAATAAATCTCAGTTTAAAACTCTGAAATATTTTAAAATAAACAAAATTTGTCTTTGAAAAAGAAAAACAAGCTTTAAGTTATTAAGTAGGTACCCATGTTCATTCTTACTCACCTGGTACTGGGCCATTAATGCCAATGGATTATTATTTTGACTGTTATCAAATGTTAAAACGTCAAAAACTCCAACACAATTTACTCGCAACCTTTAAGGACCAGAGAATTGAAAGAAAATAATTAAAATAAGTTTCTTTTATTCTAGAATAATGGAAATTTAGCATTTCCCATAATATTAGGAAGGATCTCAGAACTGAATCTAACTTCCATCTCCACCCCACATCACCTCCACCAATCACCATTTAGAAATGTGAAATGAAGGCTCAGAGACATCAAGTGGCATGCCTCCAGTTGCAGAAGTCAGTATCAGATAGAGCCAGAACTGTAAGTACATCTTTTTTTTTTTTTTTGAGTTGGAGTCTCACTCTGTCGCCCAGACTGGAGTGCAGTGGCCGCTCCCAGCCACCACAGCCTCGACCTGCTGGGCTCCAGCGATCCTTCTGCCTCAGCCTTCCAAGTAGCTGGAATTACAGGCGCATACTACCACGCCCGGCTAATTTTTTGATTTTATTGTAGAGATGAGGTCTCGCTGCCCAGGCGGGTCTCGAACCCGCGGGTTCAGGCAATCCACTCACCTCAGCCTCCCAAAGGCGCGGGATTACAGGCTGAGCCACCAAGCCCAGCTTGTAACTACATCTTTTGACAAACAGCTCAGTGTCCTTTCCACCACTCCAAGCTGCTTATTAGTTATTTATCAAAGAAAACTAGTTAGTGTCTTAACACTTGCTACAGATGTACCAGGCATGTTCCAGGCATTTTACATGAATGAACTCATTTGAATCTCTCAATAATGCTATGAGACAGGTACCTTATAAATGATGAAAATGGAATACACTTGTCCAATAATGTTGTTGAAACATAACTTGAAAAAGTGAGGTATCTTGTTCAAGATCACATAGATAGATAGCAGAGCCAGGATATGAACCCAGGGAGCCTAGTACCAGATCTTCAGCTCTTTATGCTATGCCACCTTAGACAATTCTAGAAATTACAGCATCTCAAGACTCAGGTGAAGTCAAGATTGATAACCCTCTCAAAGCATGGTACTCTACCTGCTGCAACAGCATCACCTAGGAACTTGTTACAAATGCAAATTGTCATGCCTCACTGCAGACTTACTGAATGAAAAACTGAGGGTAGGGCCCAGCAATCTGGGTTTAATAAGCCCTGCAGGTGATTTTGATTCATGCTAGAATTTGAGAACCGTGGATCTACACAGAAAAACTATATTGCTGCTATTTCTTTTTTTTTTGAGTTGAAGTCTTACTCTGTCTCCCAGGCGGGAGTGCAGTGGCACACTCACGGCCACCCCAGTGTCAACCTGCTGGACTCCACAATCCTTTCACCTCAATCTTGTAAGTAGCCAGGCGCGCACTACCACGCCTAATTTTTTTTTTATTGTAGAGATGAGATCTCGCCACAAATTGCCCAGGCTGGTCTCAAACCCACAGGATCAGGCAATCCACTTACCTTGGCCTACCACAGTGCTGAGATTACAGGCTGAGCCACAGAGCCCGGCCTGATACTATTTCTATATTCCTCCAACTCTAACCACATATACCTCCCTGGCCCTTCCCAGAATCTGTGGTTAATAACCAGGCATCTTATTAAGAATGCAACATTTTCTTAAGAAGACTTACAAATGAACTCAAAGCCACGGCAGTTCTTCTGGATGGAATATATGAAAAGGCAGAATTAAACAAATTGTCATGCTTTGTTTACTAGCTGTCAAAAGGTAAGATACTCAATGAAGAAGCCAAAACTCAAAATACCAATACCTCGTTTTGCCAGTTATCAGAATCTTTGTTGGGTCCATAACTCGACATGCCAAACCTGCTGTATGAATGGTGCGCAATGCAGAACTTAGCTGGACAATATATGCCCAAATAAGAGATTCTGGCAATAATCCAGCATGCTGCCTGGGCAATGGGCCATCGTGCTGACCTATAAAGCAAATTTTAAAAATGATTATCTTAATTTAAGGAATCAACTAAAAGACTGAAACATTCAAATCAAAGTTCAGGTCATGTGTATTCATGGCACAACATGCCAATTTACACATTTTTGTGTGTCTGTGTATAAATTAAGTCTAGTCTATTAGTAAGAATTTAAGAGATAAGCCCAAAGGTTCCTATGTCTGAGATTATACCTTTTATGATGTTAGTAGCAGTAGACCTTTCATTGTCATGGTCTTTTCTATGACCATATGAACAATAAAAGTTATTTAAAGTGAGAATTGATATTTAACTGTTAACCAAATAAATATAAATCCTGATTAAAAATAGGAACTGTAGAGATTGCCATTTTACTTAAAATGTGGCTAATTCTATCCTGTATTACCGTTTAAGCATGTAAGAGCTGTTCATTCTGTAGCTTAAGGGAAATAAAAGTCTCCACCATCACTTATGTGGAATGTATGCTTTACTTACACTGCTCAGCCTCCTCTAGTACAGATGTGTCAGTTAGACAGGCTGATACCCAACTCACATGCAAATATAAACGTAAAACACTGCATGTCACGTGTACTGACAAAAAACAAACATCATCTGATTGACCATGAAAAGTAATCATTTTTATTTTACCAACTCCTAAGGCCTTTTTGATAATATTTTCTAGGTCACTGCTAATACTTAAATCAGTAGGAAAGAAGGCGTATAAATTAAATACAGATTTTTTAAGTATTTCAGGGACTGTGACCTTAAAGTCACACTGCTGTAAACCAACCTTTTGTGAATGTGGCATAAAAGCAATATAGTTCAATGGATAATTATGGAGAGAAGAAACGCAAATATGTACTTATGGTGAGGGATAAACCTTCCAATAAGCGGCACATGTAAAGTTCAACAACTATTGTCTCTTATTTTGGACAGAACTGAAGATAATACACTCTCGAAATAGGTGACAGATGACTCAAAAAGTGGCTCTAGTGGTAAACGCCAAGACAATGTCTAAGATCACGATGAAGAGTTTAAATAAAACTATTTCATCAACTTGGCAATAAGGAAAAAGAACTGTTACAGCAAACACATAGTGCTTACTGTGTGTCTGATTATGTTCTTGTTTTTACCCACATTTATCTCATTTTAAACCTCCATCAACCCCTGTATATATGGCATTATTCCCATTTTCTAAATTAGTATATTTCTTATATGTGATTTTTTGAGTATGTGCTATGACAATAAACTATGTAGTATAATAAAACAGTAGATGCTCATGCATATGTTGGTATGTTTAGAGAAGTCACAACCATTCAAACAATACTTTAAAATATTAGAAAATGGTGGTTCAGCCTATAACCCCAGCACCTCGTCTCTACAATAAATCACAAAAATTAGCCAGGCGTGGTGGTGTGTGTCTGTAGTTCCAGCTATTTGGAAGGCTGAGGTAGAAGGAACACCTAAGTCCAGCAGGTCAAGGCTGCAGTGGCAGCAAGTGTGGCACTACCACTGCACATAGCCTGGGCGACAGAGTGAGACTCCAACTCAAAAAAAAAAAAAAATTTAGAACAATGGATTGCTTCATGTGAAAATGTACATTAATATATCAAACACTCAGCGAACACCAAAAACAGAAAAATTCAGATTAAAAAAAAAGAGCCGGGCACGGTGGCTCACTACTGTAATCCCAGCACTTCGGGAGGCAAAGTTGAGAGGACTGCCTGAGCCCAGGAGTTCAAGAACAGCCTGGGCAACATGGCGAGACCTCATCTCTACAATAAATTTAAAAAATTAGCCAAGCGTGGTGGCACACACCTGTAGTCCCAGCTATCTAGAAGGGAGAGGTGGAGGGATCGCCTGAGCTCAGCAGGTCGAGGCTGCAGTGTCTGTGGTGGTACCACTGTAGTCCAATGTGAGTGACAGTAATACTCTGACTCAAAAAAAAAATCTAGAAAAGAAAGATATAACAGAGTGGTTCCCAACAAGGGCTGATTTTGCCTCCTAGAGACATCTGGAAATGGAGATATTCTTGGTGTCACAACTGGGGAGAGGAAGCTGCTTCTGGCATTCAGCAGACAGCAGCCAGGCCATCCAGTAGGTAGAGCCACTGCCACACACTCTGCAATGCACACGACAGCGCCACAAGAATAATTATCCAGCCCAAAATATCAGTAGTACCAAGGGCGAGACACCCAGCTACAAATCAAGCCCAACAGTCACCTCACAGGTGTCACTACTAAAATAAACTTGAACAACAACTACATTCATCTATAGGAAAAGTTATACCACATCCCCTTCAACAAAAGTACGTGTGTGCCTACAAATGACATAGCAAAAGGAAAAACTAACCACATTTTATGACCAGATTTTTAATGTGAAACAGCCATGTAACCACAGTTTTCTTTTTTTCAACTGTCAAAAAGCAGAAAGCAAAGTTACAAGTAAACAGAAGTAAAATATTTTAAATCTATAATTAGAGTCTTTGAAGGAGTCACAATCTAAAAGATACTATAAAGTAGACACAAATCTTCACCCCTTTAATTTCTACCAAGAAAAACTTTAAAATTCCATGTTTAAGTAAAAGTTACTTAAAATGGATTTTAAAGACTCATTCTCTAAGTAACATACAATCCTACCTTTAAACAGAAGCATTTGTTTAGGGAGATACTTACATAAATGGTGATATAGCCACAATAGAAATCACCAAGTTATATTCAGAGAATGCAAAATTTGGGGGAAAATACTTGCAATAAATGAAAGTATAATACAATAAAGTAAAAATACTGATAGTACACGCAATATGATAGAAAATGATAAAATAAAAATGAAACAAAGCAAAAAGAGACAAAAATAAGACTGGAAAGAAATGTATCAAAAGATCTACAGTGGCTATCCTTTGGAGGTGAAGCCATCAAGATTTTTGCAATTGTATTTTCTAAGTTACTTTTTATTTGGAAAGTGTTATGTTTCTAAAAGAAAAACATTTTAAGAGGAATAAATGTCAACATCAGACATCTATGGGAGTCTCCCACAACTCACCTCAGTAAATACAGACAACACATGATTTCCTAACTTCCTGCAGATCAATTCTCTTTCAAGACACTACTTTTAAACATGTCTTGAAGCCGAATGTTCATAGGGATACGTTTACATGTGTTTTACGACACAACACTACTCTTCCACAGAGCAAAAGCATTTGTCAAAAGAGACCGCTGGCATCTCTGACTTACCCCACTTTCTCTTGGTGAAATAGGCATCGGCATTAGGGTCATTGAAGTGTCTGCTCATCATAGTTTCTCCTCCAGCATGGAAATCATATGCAAACACAAGAGCTTAAAACAAAACACACTCATTACTGAAATCTGGCTTCAAATAATGAAGCTCACCAGCAGAAAGACAAATCACGAGTTACTCACAAGGCTCGGCAAACGCTTTAGTGGTAAATACTTCACGCAAAGTTACGATGTTTGAGTGCTGAATTTTTTTCCACATATCAACCAACACCATACACTTTGTGTTAACAAGACGAAAACCTGAAAAAGACAATTCTTCTGCTTCGGTAAACTGTAAATGACGTCCCCCTCATATTCCATCAGAAATGTAAAGAAAATGCCATAATCATGTACTGCTCATGAGGTATTAATTTCTAAATTAAAGAAAAAATGTACTTATTGTCCTTTAAACTTGTATATCAAATAAATCAATATATTCAGGAAGGTCTGAATAAGCTTAGTCTCAGTAATATGATTGCAAAAGAAGATAATTTTTCTTCCTTACCATGTATCCTCCGAAGGCAATATGGCAGGTCATCTTTGCTATTCACAGCTTTGTAGCAAGATGTGATATAGCCAAAATTACTTGATTTCTGTATCCGGTTGGGAGGTGGCAGTGGTTCTAGAGGGAATAGGCTGTGGTAGCTGTCAACTTCCGTAGGAACTGCTAGAGTAATTAATAGACAGACGACTTTAAAATCACAGACATTCATAGACCACTCAGTAATAAAGAAGAAATCAAATCTACCATACACCACTCATTTATCATAACACATCATTGTATTATAGGATAGTGTCATTATTATAACAATTCTATAAAACAAACTATGGCTTCAGTATCAATAAGAATACGCATTATATATAAAATAACCAAAAAACTACTAAAGTTCATACATTCAAAATATTCCCTATCTTTTAGAGAATACAAATCTATTTCTCAGAAACAATTAACAACAATGAGTTATCACTTAGAGATACAAACACTTTTTATTTTGATGCTGAATAGAAATCCAGATAGATTTTGTTTCTTTAAATATTTTATTTTGTACAAGGTATATTTAGACAATGGGGTTTCACATAAATTCCTACTTTTTAAAGCATAAAGAAATTCAAAGAAAATCACATTAAGCTGGGTAGCATGTACATGTATTTATATGTGTATATATCTATAAATATGGCAAAAACTCTAAAAATAAATCTTTGGCTCAGTAAGTAAAACTCAAGAAAATTACCCTCCCCAAATAAGTAAGAGATGGACAAATGGGAGCCACACTCACTGCAGTTTAATAACAATGAAAATATTGGTAGTATAAATGCATGAGAACTGAAAACTATCTAGAAAGGAATACAGCAAAACTTTAATGATGACAACCTTTCAGTGGAAGGATTTTTATCTCTTATGTTTGCATCTTCTTTTTTTAATCTTTTCTCTCTTTCTATTCTGTATTTGCCAAATGTTTTACAATAAACATGTTTAGCATTATATTTTCTTTAAAAAAGTGTACAAACAAAAACAAATGAAAATTTCTGACCTCCGAGTTGTAAAAAATACAGCAAAACCCTATTAAGAAAACTCAGTAATTCCAGAAGACAGATTCAAAATGATCCTTCCTCCGTCTTTGCCAAACACTTGACATTGTCTGTTAGTTCTCCCAAGAATCCTATGAGACAGGACCCCTTATTTCGTAATTCAGGAAAATAAGGATTGCACAGCTTAAACAGGGAACAGGGATGCAGCCCAGGACTTTGAGTTTACAGTTCTGTGCTCTTAATCTCCACGTGGCATCTTGGCCAAAGTGCAAAACAAACATGGAATGATTCAATGTCACTTTAAAACCCAGGTCAAGTGGCGTGTTCCACTAAAATAAAGACAGTATGCAGCCAGACGTGGTGGCACGTGACTGTAGTCCTGGTTACTTGGGAAGATTGCTCGAGCCCAAGGGTTCAAGTCCAGCCTGGGCATAGAGAGACGCTATCTCTTAAAAAAATAAATAAAATAAAGGCAGGATAAGGAAAAAATACACACATGTGAATAGAGCTGTAACTTTTACTTTTGCCCACTTGCTATTTTTTATTTGAATGATCAGTGTAATTTCCACAAAGAAATCAAATGATGAATACATTTTGTTTCCTAGCTATTTCATTCAATAAAGAATACTTAATGCAGGAAGCAATTAATTTCAAATCAGTAAAAATGCACTGAGCACCTACTATGTACTACTGAGCCCACTCTAATAAACTGTGGGTTCTTACCTTCAAGAGGCTTAGAGAAAAATAATGGACACAGATTTATATAAAACAGAATACAAGACAAAATAGCTATTAAAAAAAGTAAAACCTTCACCATGGCACTCGTTCTTAAACTTTAGCACCTGTCAGAATTACCTAGAGCTAGGCCCCGTGCCCAGAGTGTGTGACACAACAGGTCAGAAATGTGGCCAAAGAATTTGTAATTTTAACAAGTCCCAAAATGATCGTGAAAATGAGGCTGCTGGTCAAGGAGGTCTGAGACCTCCTACCCTATGACAATACAGCAACCAAGGACATTAGGAAAGCTCATATAGAAGAAAAGACACTTTTACTACAAAGTGGGGTAAGACTGTTTTCAATGGGCTAGAACAAGTAGAAAGAGTGCCGTTTGGTCAACAGGACAGGGAGTCAACAGGACAACTGCAACCAAGGCCTGCGTGTGTGCATGTGTATAGCGTGTTCAGAACAGCGAGCCCTCTCGTGCTGAGAGCACAGGCTACACTGAGGAGACCCACCATGGAGACAGAGTTGAGAGGGATGTTGAGACCAGGTCACAGGAAAACTGAAATGCCATGCTGAAGACTTTTATCATGCCAATATCACCAGTGTGGCACAGACTAAGCAAGGGACTTAGCAACCAACAAGCCTATGCTTCTCACTCCTTTATCCTGTAACCACCTTTCAGCAAGTCATGCTGGATTCTATAGACTGTACCCCAAAAACTGTGCTTTGGCAGACTGCTATGCATTATCTGAAGTATACCCCTCTGGGGTCAGATTGAGTCCATGGAAACTATTTTATCATGCTGTAAGTTGTAGATAACTGACAGCACTGCAAAAAGATTCTTGTCTAGACCTGAATATTCTGTCCTGCCAGTGAGGCACCATTGACTTCCCTACTCCCTTGTAGAAAAGCCAGTCTGCATATTCACCTCAGTATTCCCCATCTGTCTTCTGACATGAAGCCGCCTTCCTCTCATGAGTTAAATAAAATCTCTGACACATACCCATTTATTTTTGTAACTGTTTGCCATGATTTATCTTTTTCTGAAAATCATCCTTTAAGACTACCATCTCCCAATCTACCCTGAAATAATCATCTGTGGCCTAATATTAACCTTAGAAGCTGAATGTTTCTACTATTGGACAAGAATATTCATTGTTGTTCTGCTCTTCGTTCAGTTCAATTTAATAAATGCCCATAAGTATGAATAAAGGGAGTGGGTGCTTCCATCACTGACGCCACTAAGATGACTACTATTAGGAAGGTCACCTAGAGGTAAAGCCAAGAGAAACACCTTCTTGGAAGATTACACCTCAGCTGCATTCAACTTACAGCGTGAAGCTCAGTTCCACCAGATAGAATTAAAAACAATGATAAAAAGGAAATGTTAGTTTTTTTCTACTACTGAACTTTACTTCCTCTCAAAGAACACATACAGTGTTGGCGGAGAGAGAGGAGAGATACTGACTATTTGGTCCGTGTAGTATGTGCACAGCAGAGTTTCTCAGCCTCAGCACTACAGACCTCTTGGGCTGGATCACCTTGGTTGTGAAGGACAGTCCTGTGCACTGCAGGAAGCATAGCACAGTCCTGGCTTCCAGCCACCAGATCCCAATAGCACCCTGCTTCTAGTGAGGACAATCAAACATGTTTTGGACATTGGCAAAAGTCCCCTGAAGGAGGTAAAATCATTCCTGGTTGAGACCAAGTGACCTAGAGGAAACAGATGGTGACTTCAGAGTTGAGAAGCACTAATTTGGTGAAAGTATAAAGTATGAAATATAAAACGGGAAGAAAAGAGACAGCCAAGTCAAAGATTAATACATGAGTCAAAGTGAGACTTGAAGGTTAACAAAACTGCATCATGAGAAATGAAAAAGATCAGAGTTGAGAGAAGAGACAGAAAGAACGATTCATTAAGTCATGTTTGAGCTTGGGTGCACAGGATCAGTTGAACTATAACCTTTAGTTTGTGATACTCAGATCACTAGCCCATGTCCATGCATGGCCTGCTTTCATTTAGTTAATTATTCTTGCTAATATAAAGAGCATCTGGAAACTCAGCAACCAGAATGAAAGCCCAGACCTTTACTTCAACCTACGTCTAACCAGAGTCCTCTCAACCAGCCTCTGCCTTCCTGTATTTCTCTTCCCTTCCTTTTGATCTAGTTTCATTACATATATATGTATTCCTCAGGTATACTGTGTACACACACATATATATACACACATATGAAAAGGTATTATGCTGTATGTATGTAGTCTCTTGTAACTCACTCTTTTACCTGGTATATTATGAAGATGTTTTGGTATTGTTACACGGTATACTTTTTCTTCACTTAAGCTGCTATGTAACACTCCACTATCTAACAATATCATAATTAGTCCATCCCCTATCTTTCAAATGAGCATCTGGTCTGCTCAAGGTTTCTGCTGCTGTGAGCAGTGTTTTTATGAGTATCTCGTAAATATGGCAGATGTGCAGGAATTCCCTTCTCTCTAGAAGCAGAACTGCTGGGTAAGAGGGTATACAGATATTCAATTTAGGAATTCTCCAAAGTGGTTACAGATTCCCCAAGTTATACTATCACCAGCAATACATACGAGAACCAATGGGTCCACAGCCTAACATACATCCATTCATCCATGAATGAGTTGGAGTCTTACTCTGTCGCTGAGACTGCTGGATTTTGCGGGTCACAATCACAGCTAAGCAATCCTTTATATCTCAGGCTCACAAAGTACTATGATTACAGGTGCAAGCCACCATGCCTAGCCCATGTCCTAATTTTTTTTTTTTTTTTTTTAGATCAGAGTCTCACTCTGTTGCTCAGACTGGAGTGCAGTGGCATGCTCAGAGCCACCCCAGCATCGACCTGCTGGGCTCAGGTGATCCTTCCACCTCAGCCTTCCAAGTAGCTAGAACTACAGGTGCATGCTACGATGCCCAGCTAATTTTTTTTTTTTTAAATATATTATAGAGCCAAGGTCTCACCAAGTCGCCCAGGCTGGTACCGAACCCCTGGGCTCAGGGAATCCTCTTGTCTCGGCCTTTCAAAGTGCTGGGATTACAGGCTTGAGCCACTGCACCTGGCTATCCTAACATTTTTAAATGGTCAAACTTCAAAATAATATTTTACAATCACTTTCCTAATGACCAGTGATGTACAGCATCTCTTCATATATTTATTCATCGCACAAGTTTCTCCTTCCATAAAATGCCTGTTCTTATCTTTTGGCCACTTTTCTACTGAACAATTTGTGCTCTTAACTGAGTAAGAGTATTTTATATTCTTTTCACTTGTATGGATTGCAAATGTATTCTTCCAAATGTTTTTTTGTTTTTGTTTTTTTGGAGTTGTGTCTTTAGGTAGTTTTAAATTTTATTTTAGTAAAACATATCAGTATTTTCTTTTAGAAACAGCAATCTTTGTGTCCTGCATAGGAAATATTTCTCTACTACAATGTTAAGTCTATTCATTTATATTTTATAGTAAGAGTTCTTAAGTTTGGTCTTAGACATGTAAGCTCTTAATCCATCTGGAGTTGATTGGCTAATGTGGCTTGAAATAATGATCTAATTTTATCCTTTCCACACAGAAAACCACCTTTTCCAAGGCCTGCTTCTCCCCCACTGACTTCTCCTTTTATTAAGGGTTACACCTAGGCTCTCTATAATCTGCTACATTAATCCATTTATCTAACTCTCAGTCACTGCCATGTTGTTTATGGTACTTCAGATTCAAACCAAGCCTCTCCCAGCACACACACACACAAATTCTTCATATGAACGTGAACCACAATCATATTCTTCAAAAAGCCTAGGACAGTCTTGGCCTATCATACTCTGACAAAGTTCATCATACTCCATGAAAAGCTCTGCTATGCTTTGGTTGGAATTACACTTATTCTATAGATTGGTTTGGAAAAACTGATGTCTTACTTATTACATCTTCTTACTCATGACTACAGTGTTTCCCTCTATTCATTTATCTTAGTTGATACCTTATAATAAATCTCTCCTACTGAAATTGTATACATCTTTGGTTGTATTTATTCCTAGGTACTGATATTGCAAAACCATTTTAAGCTGCATTTTATTTTAATTATATTTTGAAGTTAACCGGGCACTGGCCTACAGAAATGCAACTAACATAACCTTACACCTAGCTATTTTCTAAACTCTATCATTATAAATGATGCTTAATCTACAGTTATATGATTTACAGACAAAAGTTTATTTTCTGCTTTCTAGTCTTTACGCCTCCAATTGCTTTCTCTTTTTAAATTTTTCCCCTGGCTAGGGACTCAAATACAAAGTTAAATAATTGAGAAAAACTTCAATGTGAACATTTCAAACTTAATGACAGATATAAGTTCCCTGCCCATCTAACCTAAAAGATCAGTCTTAAGACCTAACAGTCAGAATATTCCCTTTAAGCCTTTAGCAGTCAAGACAATACACGCTGGATTAAGCTGAATCCTTGATTATAACTAGGTGTTGTGAGATTATCTCTAAGGCAAATGTATTCCTATTGCCATTATTTATCAAGATTCCCTAATTATATCATATTTATGAGTAATTTATACAGACTAAGTCAGGGAAAGAGATTTTAATATTCTCTGGGAAATACTGTGATAGCAAAACCTAGGTTTAAATCCTGAATCAGTCAACTACTTACTAACCACTGGTCCTAAAGGCAAATTAATTAACCTGTTAACTTCAGTTTTCCTCATATGTCAAATGGAGATGATGTCACAGGATGTTTGGAAGATATATAAAGCATTTAGTTAGCACACTATCAGGGATACTGCAGTCTCATAAAGAACAACAATAATTACCTTCCCCTCCTGCTTCAGAACCTATGCTTTGTTACGTTTCAGCAGACAATAATATTCTAGTGCATAGTGAAGTGCCATGAATTCTGCAGCTATTTTGTTGATGAGCTAGAATACCATCACGTAGAGAACTAACTGAAATAAACTACACAATCAGTAGTACCCTGGAACTCTTCTTAACAATGCATAACAACATGTGCTACCACGCAAGAATTATAATGGCCTTTAAAACAAAGAATGAATCAACTGGAATTTTACCTGGCATATCTGCTTGATCAATTTGAGCCATTGTTATTAAATGTCTGTTGATCAGCTCCTAAAAAAACCGAAGTAAGTATATTAACATCTAAATACAGATTCTGAAACCTGAATTTCCTACTGTAAGTAAAAACATCAGTATTAATACTTCTAGCGTATGTACCTTTAAAAACTGATAGAATTAAATTACATTTCTAAACATGGCAGAATGTCTAAATTCCAGTTCCAGATAGACCTGCTCATAATTAAGGTTCGGCTTAAACAGATGTGCTGTAACTCAAAGCTTACGGCTAACTACTCTGTCAAAAATTCAAGGTCTACTTGTAAGTTGATCAATAATTAATTCTAAAAGCATTGCATTGGTAGAACTTACATTTGTAAAAAAAAATATTTCTGAGAATCAAGGTTTAAAATGAAATTCTACATATCAAATAATATCTAGCTGTTCACCAAACAAAAAAAATTATTTTATAAAATACGGTTTTAAAAAATTTTTTTGAACTCTCTGAAAATGAAGTACCCTTTCTGGGCCAAACTATTTATTTTAAACATATACTATTAGCAAAAAGTTTTAAGGTTAGAAACCATTCAAATTATTTATGTACCTCAAAAAGCCCTTTCAATAGAATACGAAGTACTGAAAAAAGGTCAATTTAAATAGCTATTGTACTTTATAATTTATTTGAAGTTGTCTTAAAAAAAAAAAAAACAGGTTTAAATAAATATATGAATTAAAACATATATTCTAAATTCAGTCTGCTTAAGTACAGCATGTTTGGTTAAATAAGACGATTCAAAAGAGCTCTGTTCTTTGCTAAAGCAAAGTGGACAGTAAGTATTCCTAACATGAATTCCGAGAGCATACCTGTCGGAGTTCATCAGCCATGAAGAAGGAAGGTGCGTTTGCTTTTGGTTGCATGTAAGCAACATGAGGTGCAGTTGGAGGATAAATATGATAGTTTGGAAATACCTAAAAAGGCAGGGGGAGGGAAATGTAATTGCTCATTTTTCTCAATTGATAATAAGCTTTGCCATCCTTTTGGCAAAATTTTAATTTTTACAATGATAGTGAAAAATTTTAATACATTTAAAATCTTTAATAATGAATTAAAAACCTCAGAGAATAGCTGGTATCAGAATACTTTCTGAATGAATTCATATTAAAAATAATCTTTTATTTCAAAAATCATTTAAAAAATCTGATGAGAATCAAAACATTTCTTCAGATATATAGTAAGACTTAAGCTTCAATGGAAAGACAAAAAAGTAGATCTTTGGAAGAAATGTCACACAGTCTCTGCCCTCTGTATCCCCGGGTTCTGCATCTGAGGATTCAAACAACCACAGATCAAAAATACTCAGGAAAATAAATAAATAAAAAATAATACAATAATAAAAAGTAACACAAATTATAAAACAGTACAGCAGCTGTTTATACAGCATTCACACTGCATTAGTATCATAAGTAATCTAGAGATGATTTCGAGCATACAGAAGGATGCACATGGAGAGATGCAAACTCTAGGCTATTTCAGATCAGGGACATGAGCACCCACGGATTTGGGTATCTGCATGGGTCCCGGAGCCAGTCCTCTTTGGCATCCAGTGACAACTACACAAGCAATGCACAGGTGTTTTCTGAAAGCAACTGGAAGAAAAAAACTGAAAAGGCCCTGGACAGAGTGAGAGAATGAAGTAACCTAACCCAAGAGTTGCCTGCACAATTGTCAAACACTTCCTGCTGCAACAGTGAAAGGGTCTGGTGACTCCAGGTCAGCAGCTACTCCCAGGCTCATCTCACACCACCCACAGCAGCCACCAGCATGCCTCCATTCTCCCCGGACCCCGTCCCCCACCTACTCTCTCCTTTTTCAATGTCACCTCTTCCTCTGCCTCTCCTTCTTTTCACTGGTACATGATACAAAATAACAGCACAATAAAAAATATCTTTTCTATTTTTTTATTCTTTAATTTTAAAAGCTGAAACTTGTTTTCCCTTTCTTAAAGATGAATTCAGCTGATTTCTGCTGCCCTCAGAAGAAGACTCTGCTCTAACCTCCACTAGGAAGTGGTTTTGCAGGACTTGTCAGGGCTCCTTCAAACTGTATCTGTAGGGAGAATAATGTGTCCTTTGTCTTGCTTTGGTTTCCTTACATAAAACAGCAGTTTGACTTAACTACCTGAGGTTTGCCATGAGCATATTTTAAAGAGCAGCTTGAAGGTCTAAAACATAAAAATGTGCCATATTTAATCTCTGTAAAAAACATAAAAGTGTGCCATATATATATATATATTTTTTTTTTGAGTTGGAGTCTCACTCTGTCGCCCAGACTGGAGTGTGGTGGCCGCTCCCAGCCACCGCAGCCTCGCCTGCTGGGCTCCGGCGATCCTTCCGCCTCAGTCTTCTAAGTAGCCGGAATTACAGGCATGCGCTACCACGCCCGGCTGATCTTTTTATTTATTGTAGAGATGAGGTCTCGCTGCCCAGGCGGGTCTCAAATCCGCGGGCTCAGGTAATCCACTCACCTCAGCCTCCCAAAGGCACGGGATTACAGGCTGAGCCACCGAGCCCGGCTAAAGTGTGCTATATTTAGCCTCTATAAAGTTAGCTGAGATAGAATCTCTATATACATTAAAATTTATTCCTATAAATACGACAAAAATGAAATATAACAAAAATGTAAGTAATCACAAAATATAGTAAACAATGAAAAAAGAATAAAACACTGACAGACTCCTAACTTGAAAGAATCATGGGAAATACCTTCTTTACCCCAATGATCTGGCCTGTCTGGAAAGCTGTTCTGTGATAACATTTCAAATATATCGGGCTTAAAAAAAAGAAAAAAAAACCACACACACATATAAAACTATCCGCTATTTTATTATTTATCTTATCACTATTCTTTAAGAGACAGGGTCTCGCTCTGTCACCCAGGATGGAGTGCAGTGATGCCATCATAATTTGCTGTAATCTCAAACTCTTGGACTCAAGCCATCCCTGCACTTCAGATTCCTGAGTAGCTGAAACTACAAGTGCATACCACCACACACACCGAGCAAATTTTTTTTTATTTTTTGTAGAGATGAGATTTCAGTATGTTGCCTAGGCTGGTCTCAAACTCCTTGGCTCAAGCAATCCTCCTAGCTCAGCCTCCTGAAGTGCTGGGATTACAAACAAGAGCCACAATGCCTGGCCACCATCTAATTTTTAAGTCTCACTAGAGGTAAAACTTATACCTATAAATAAATATCAATGACTAACTCCAGCTAGCACAAGTACTACGCAACCCTCATAAGCAAAACATGCTATAAGGTACTAAAATAAAATCACAAATATAATCTAATTTCTAATTGAATCAAATTTCTCCGAAACTGGTTATTCGTAAGACAGTATGAGATGAATCTGAAGAGATAAGAAGAGAATTCTACTCCCAGAAAATGAAATGCTCTTTCACATCACAATAAAAAGGTGCAAGTGAACATCTACATTAATAAGGAACTACTGAAGAGTGCTGGCATGTCCTCTCTCATGCAGACATACCATTCCAGTCAAAGGTGCTGGAGTCGTGTCTGTATAGAAGTACGTCGTCCCACCAACAGTCTCCTTCTGAATCACCTGGCCAGAAGATGGAGTCTGAGACACAGGATTACTGACAGGAGTGGAGGCACTAGAAGGCACCATGTAGCTCGCTGGATTGGGAGTGTGGCTTCTTCTTCTGGGAGCAGGAGAAGTGTGTGGAGTAATCTTGGGGGAGTGGAGAGGGGAAGACCCAGCAGACAATGACATTCCTGAAGAAGAGGTAAACAAGGTTTCTTAAAGGAGCAATAATTGATTCTAAAGGAAAAAATCTGGAAAGTAAAATGCAAACATTCATTTGGAAGAAACACTGTCTTTTGCAAATTTAAAGTGTGAAGATAAAGGATGTAATTGTACCTATTTTGTTTTAGAGAAAGCTGTGATTAAAAAGCAAATGTAAAGAAGTTTCCTTTTCCAAATATAGTTATTTCCAAATAAATTAGCAAATTTACTATAAGAGCAGTCTCCTCCATATCAAGGTTTACAAAAAAAAAAAACTTCAACAGTAAGAATCACCCAAAATTCAATAAATTAATATAATGAAAGAGTAAGAAATAACAAAACTGGGACTTGTTATAAAATTAGGCCTTTGATAAAGGACTTTATGACGTTTATCAAAGGCATAATTTCTTTTCTATTAAGAATCATTAACAACAGCACCTTCTCCCCATATCATAAAATTCAAATTATCAAATGAAAATCATCTACTAGCTTTCCTTCAGCCAAATACAATTAACAAAATTGTTGAAAAAGGCAAAAAAAATTAAGTTGAAATACATGGTAACTTAAATACCACATATTTAAAATCAAGCAGTAGATGGTTTTGATGCCTTTTCGTCTTTAGCTCTAAATAGGCATACCCTAAAACGACAGAAACTTTCTACAAATGCAAACCTTTTAACATCAGGCCAATTGATACTACTGCATTCTAGTGGAAGTTTTACTCAATCACAAGCAATAAAGAGCATTATGTACAGAGTACCCTCATGTTGTGAACCTATTGTGGGGAAGGGAAGGACAATTCTCTTTACTCTTCAGGAGATTCCAAGCTAATTGAGAAAACAAGACCAGGTCACATATAAAAGACATAAAACGAATCTTAAAAACACTCAAATATAAACTAATATCCTGCAAACTACATGCATAAATGCACATGAAATGCAAATTAAAACCAGGTAGGGTTAATCAAAAGCTTAATGGGGGTGATCAGTTCTGAGCAGACTGAAAAGGGTATTTAGAGCTGGTTATACTTCCTGAAAGACCAAGATTAATGCCCACAAGGATGTATAAAATATGACCTTGAGCCCACAGAATGTGGAAAATGGAATAAATCCCGTGTAAAGCCAGGACTTGAAAACAGCAAATATAGGACAAAAATAAAAGACTGCTGACTGTGGAAGAGAGCAGAAGGAAAGGAGAAGGGCTAGAAGACTGGGCTGATATCTTTTTTTCTTTTCATTTTTTTTTTTGAGTTGTAGTCTCACTCTGTCGTCCAGAGTGGAGTCAGTGGCCGCTCCCGGTCATAGCAGCCTCGACCTGCTGGGCTCCGGTGATCCGTCCACCTCAGCCTTTCAAGGAACTACAGACGCACGCTACCACGCCCGGCTCATTTTTGATTTATTGTAGAGATGAGGTCTCGCCAAGTTGCCTGGGTGGGTCTCGAACCCATGGGCTCAGGCAATCCACTCGCCTCGGCCTCCCAAAGTGCTGGGATTACAGGCTGAGTCACCGAGCCTGGCCTGGGCTGACATCTTAGGAGAAATGGAAACTCCATGCCTATCCCATGCATAGGTGTAGGAGAGAAAATTCCCAGGAGATGCCAGGCTATAGGAATTCCAAAATGAAATCAATATAAAACGTGACTTGCTCTGGCAAAACCCTTCTGACAGCTGGCTGAAGCAAACACAACTTTTTTGATGAACACTTCCACAAACTGACAGCATACAGGAAGCCTCCCCAGAAAACAATGCCACTTTAAAAAAATCTAAAACTAAGAATCAGGCCGTGTCCAGTGGCTTACGCCTGTAATCCCAGCACTTTGGGAGGCAGAAGCAAGAAGACTGAGCCCAGGGTTCAAGACCAGCCTGGGCAACTTGGTGAGACCTTGTCTCTACAATAAATAAAAAAATTAGCCAGGCATGGTGATGCATGCCTATAGTTTCAACTACTTGGAAGGATCGCCTGAACCCAGCAGACAGAGGCTGTGGTGGCCGTGAGCATGCCACTGCACTCCAGCCTGGGTGACAGAGACTCTGACTCAAAAACAAAAACAAAAGCAAACAAACAGCATGCACAGTATACTCAAGATTCAGCACTCCAAAAACAAAGCACTCCTGATGACACAATCATGCAAAAGAGATTATAAAATATAATTACTACTAAAATGATTAAAAACTTGAAAGAAGTGACAAACATTACAAAAGAACAGACCAAACTGGCTAAGAGTGAAAAATATAAGCATTCAAATTGAAGGGCAAAAACTCTCAACAGATGAGTTAAAACAGCAAAGTAGATAAACCAAAGAGAGAAGCAATCAATCAGAAGGATCTGAGGAAATTACCTGCAAATAAAACTTGGAAAATATGAAAGAGTTGTCAAGAGGAACAAAAGACAGGATGAGGAGGTAAAAAAAAAAAAAATACTGGAGAAGCAATATTCCAAGAGAAAAGACCTGTAATCCTCACTCAAGAAGTCCTGAACAAGGGTTATGAGCAGAGAAGTAAACCTAAGTCCCTTCTGACCAATTACGTGAAACTGAAGCATGCTAAAGAAAAGAGAAAAGCTTAGAAGTTACCAGAAAAGGCACAAATTATGTAACAAAAGACAAATAATTACATTAGCAGGACACTGCATCAGCAACACTCCACAATGAAATATTCAAAGGAGAAAAGAGAACTGTTCTTGAAATTTATATACAAATGGCATTTTTAGAGGTTGTTGCTCATATTTCCATGGTGAAAAAACGATTAATCAACCTCAGTAAGACAGAAACTTCCTCCTCAAAAGGCATGCAGTATAAGAACGTGTGAGCAAACAGGTTAAGCACTGACAGTAAAAGAAGAATTAGTCTGAAATAGGCTAAAGTGAAATGTTACTAAATTCAAGACAACTATATTACTGAAAAGGGACAAGAAACTCAAAGTCATTAAAATTCTTGGGTTAGTATTTTCACTGCCTATCTCTTCAACAATTGCATACCTGGTAAGGCATGAATGGTAAAAATCTAAGGATGACCACCATATAAAGTAAAAACAAGCCGGGCTCGGTGGCTCAGCCTGTAATCCCGCACTTTGGGAGGCTGAGGTGAGTGGATTGCCTGAGCCCGCGGGTTCGAGACCCACCTGGGCAACTTGGCGAGACCTCATCTCTACAATAAATCAAAAAATTAGCCAGGCGTGGTAGCGCTCATCTGTAGTTCCAGTTACTTGGAAGGCTGAGGCGGAAGGATCACTGGAGCCCAGCAGGTCGAGACTGCAGTGGCCAGGATGAATAACTGAAATGTCAAAACTAAAACCATAAACTCTAAAAAAAAATACTTAAATTGGGCTTCATAAAAAAATATATTTTTGAGATAAGGTGTCACTGTCGCCCAGGCTGGGGTGCAGTGGCACAATCTTTCTCACTGCAGCCTCTAATTCCTGGGTTCAAGTGATCCTCCCACCTCAGCCTTTCAAGCTGCTGGGACTACAGGCACACACCACCACACTCAGCTATTTTAGAAATAAATTTTTCAAATGGGGTGGGGAGGCGGGATTGGCAGTAGTGGAAATTTGCCCAGGGTGGGGGGTACACCTTATCAACAAGGGCACTTGCATAATGCACATTTGTTTACCTAACCCTGAATTTTAACTCACATATTTAAAACAACAAATTAAAAATAAAATAAAACACACACAAAAAATTTGTAGAGTCAGAGCCTTCAACTCATAGCCACAAGTAAACATCCCAACCTTAACTACTCAAAGTGCTGGGGTTACATATGTGAGCCACCATCCTGGGCGTTATCAAATTTAAAAATGTTTGTTCTCAACAAGAAGCTATCAAGAAAGTAAGAAATCAAGCAACCTACAGAATAAAAAACTTTGCAAATCACATATTCAATGGTCATTTCAATAATAATGAAAAAGAATTGACAAAATTCAACATCCCTTTATGATCACAACTCTTAAACTGGGTATAGAAGAAATATATGTCAAAAATGATAATGGCCGGGCTCGGTGGCTCAGCCTGTAATCCCGTGCCTTTGGGAGGCTGAGGTGAGTGGACTGCCTGAGCCCGCGGGTTCGAGACCCGCCTGGGCAGCGAGACCTCATCTCTACAATAAATCAAAAAATCAGCCGGGTGTGGTAGCGCATGCCTGTAATTCGGCTACTCGGAAGGCTGAGGCGGAAGGATCGCCAGAGCCCAGCAGGTCGAGGCTGCGGTGGCCGGGAGCAGCCACTGCACTCCAGTCTGGGCGACAGAGTGAGACTCCAACTCAAAAAAAAAAAAAAAAGATAATGGCCACATATGACAAACCCACAGTCGACGCCACACTGAACAAGGCAAATCAAAAGTCTTTCCCCTAAGACCTGAGACAGGACAAGGATGCTCTGTTCATTTGCATTACTTTTATTCAACACAGCATGGGCAGTCCTAGCCAGAACAATAAAGCAAGAGACATAAAGTGCATCCAAATTAAAAAGGAAAAAAAAAAACCAGATTATCCTTGTTTGCAGACAATGTTAATTATACTTAGAAATCCCTAAAGACTCCACCATAAAACCGTTAGAACAGATGAAGGAATTTAGTACAGTCGCACAATAAAAAAACCAACTTGCAAAAATTAGTAGATTTATATACGGCAACAGCAAACACCCCGAAAAAGAAATCAAGAAAGCAATTCCATTTACAACAGTTACTAAAAATACAAACCATCTAGAAAGAAATTTAACCAAAGAAATAAAAGAATTTTATAAGAAAAGCTATAAAACACTGATGAAAAAACTGAATAGGACACCACAAAATGGCTATCCCATGCTTATGAGTTGAAAGAATAGTTAAAAATGTCAGTACTACCCAAATAAATCTACAGATTTGATGGATTCCCTATAAAAACACCAGTAACATTCTTCACAGAAACAGAAAAAAAAAATCTTAAAATTCATATAGAACTACAAAAGACCTGAATAGCCACAGCAATCTTGAGCAAAAAGAACAAAGCTGGAGATAT